GGCAGAATTTCTTTCAACCTGGTGTCCTGTTCACCTAGCAATACTCTATTCACGGTGTATTCACTCACAGGATAAGTGACGCTGCCCTATAAACTCGCCCTCCAGGGCCAAAATTAAATTGGTTGAGGTTTTAAGGGTCAAAATAAGTGAGGAGCGGAGGAAGAGAGCAGAGTGCCAGAGGCATCAACCTACTGAGAGCCTGCTGGCACTCCCTCCCCCTGGGGCTGTCCCCCCACCTACGTTCAGTGGGTTGGTGCAGTGTGTGTGTGTGTGTGTGTGTGTGTGTGTGTGTGTGTGTGTGTGTGTGTGTGTGTGTGTGTGTGTGTGTGTGTGTGTGTGTGTGTGTGTGTACTCACCTAGTTGTACTCACCTAGTTGTGTCTGCAGGATCGAGCATTGACTCTTGGATCCCGCCTTTCGAGCATCGGTTGTTTACAGCAATGACTCCTGACAGCAAGTTTCAATGTGTGTGTGTGTGTGTGTGTGTGTGTGTGTGTGTGTGTGTGTGTGTGTGTGTGTGTGTGTGTGTGTGTGTGTGTGTGTGTGTGTGTGTGTGTGTGTGTACTAGTCTGGTAGCAAACCTTTGAACCTTTTCCAGTTTGGTCTTGCTGGGATTGAGCTCTGGCTCTTTGGTCCCGCCTCTCAACCGTCAATCAACAGGTGTACAGGTTCCTGAGCCTATCGGGCTCTATCATATCTACACTTGAAACTGTGTATGGAGTCAGCCTCCACCACATCACTTCCTAATGCATTACATTTGTCAACCACTCTGACACTAAAAAAGTTCTTTCTAAAATCTTTGTGGCTTATTTGGGCACTCAGTTTCCACCTGTGTCCCCTAGTGCGTGTGCCTCTTGTGTTAAATAGTCTGTTTTTATCTACGCTATCAATTCCCTTGAGAATCTTGAATGTGGTGATCATGTCCCCCCTAACTCTTCTGTCTTCCAGCGAAGTGAGGTTTAATTCCAGTAGTCTCTCCTCGTAGCTCATACCTCTCATCCCGGGTACTAGTCTGGTAGCAAACCTTTGAACCTTTTCCAGTTTGGTCTTATGCTTGACTAGATATGGACTCCATGCTGGGGCTGCATACTCCAGGATTGGCCTGACATATGTGGTATACAAAGTTCTGAATGATTCCTTACACAAGTTCCTGAATGCCGTTCTTATGTTGGCCAGCCTGCCATATGCCGCTGATGTTATACTCTTGATATGGGCTGCAGAAGACAGGTCTAGCGTGATATCAACCCCTCCTGCTCCCTACACCTATCTTCATTACATTACATTATTACATTGTGTATGTGTGTGGCTATCGTGACGTCATTCAGCTGGCTCACCCCGCTACCCTATCATCTCTCCTTTTATCTATTCTGCTTTGTGACGTCACTGTTCTATACACCGCCATGCACTGCCTTTGTGACGTCACTGTTCCATACACCGTTATACACTGCCGGGGCGCGTGCATGGTGACGAGAAGGCTTTTGTTTGATTTTTATTTAGAATGAAAGGGAAGTATTGTGATGGGGCGGGCGTGAAGCAGAAGGGGAGGGTGGGGGGGGGGAGGGAGGGAGAGATGTTAAGGGAGGGAGAGAGGAGGGTGAGGGAGGGGGGAGAGGGGGCAGAGTGAGGGAGAAATGAGATGAAATGATGACAAAATGTGAAAGAAAAGCAGTTTGAAAAGCTAGAAAGGGCGCGAGAGAGCAAAAGCTGTGGACGACTTCCATTCCCAGCCTGCAATTGGCAGGGGTTTCCTTTCATCTCATGCCACCATTCACAGGGCAGAAAATAAGTACCTGGGAGCAAGTTCCTGAGAGCTGCATCCTAGCAGATGGTCAGTAGTTGACCTAGTAGTTAGACACACACACACACACACTCCCGTACACCTGTTGATTGACGGTTGAGAGGCGGGACCAAAGAGCCAGAGCTCAACCCCCGCAAGCACAATTAGGTTAGTACAAACACACACACACTCGCCCCAATGAAAAAAAACCCTGTGGAGGATTGACTGGGAACTAATCCACAACTGTTCGCCCTGGTCACCCAGGAGTGCACTTGAACACGTTGAACATAGAGTCCGCGTCTCTATAATGCTCCTCTATCCCGGCCACCTCTGTAGAGTTGTAGGGCAGGAAGGAGTCCACGCTACTGACGATGTTGTACAGCCAGAAATAGTCGTACTATTCGTAGCAAGCAGTGGTAGCTGTGGCCACAGCAGTTATTCTTGTGGCTGTTTTTATTGTAACAGTAGTACTAGTAGTAGCACTACTAGTACACTAGTAGCACTACTAGTACACCAGTAGCACATACTGGTACACTAGTAGCACTACTAGTACACCAGTAGCACTACTAGTACACCAGTAGCACATACTGGTACACTAGTAGCACTACTAGTACACCAGTAGCACTACTAGTACACCAGTAGCACATACTGGTACACTAGTAGCACTACTAGTACACCAGTAGCACTACTAGTACACTAGTAGCACTACTAGTACACTAGTAGCACTACTAGTACACCAGTAGCACTACTAGTACACCAGTAGCACTACTAGTACACCAGTAGCACTACTAGTACACCAGTAGCACTACTAGTACACTAGTAGCACTACTAGTACACTAGTAGCACTACTAGTACACTAGTAGCACTACTAGTACACTAGTAGCACTACTAGTACACCAGTAGCACTACTAGTACACTAGTAGCACTACTAGTACACCAGTAGCACTACTAGTACACCAGTAGCACTACTAGTATACCAGTAGCACTACTAGTACACTAGTAGCACTACTAGAACACCAGTAGCACTACTAGTACACTAGTAGCACTACTAGTACACCAGTAGCACTACTAGTACACCAGTAGCACTACTAGTACTAGACTCAGTAATAGTTATGGCAGTAGTAGTCGTATAAGCAGTAGCAGCAGTACTAGTAGTAGAATCAATAATAGTAATATCAGTACTAGTCGTATAAATAGTAGTAACATTTATTGCTTTTAATAGTAGCCTACTAGCAGCAGCAGCAGCAGCAGCAGCAGCAGCAGCAGCAGTGGTTCTTGTAGAACTATTACAAAAAATGTTCTATATATGCATCCTTTTGAATTAAAAATTATTTTCACATACAGCACCAATGAAGGTAATAATAATAAAATTAGTAGCAATAATAATAATAATAATAATAATAATAATAATAATAATAAAATTAGTAATAATAATAATAATAATATTAATAATAATAATAAAATTAGTAATAATAATAATAATAATAATAATAATAATAATAAAATTAGTAGCAATAATAATAATAATTAATAATAATAATTTAATAATAATGCAAATAATAACAATAATTTTATTGTCTTACATAACGCAGTACAAGAAGAGGACGAGGCGTCACTTTACACATAATTGTTATCCAGAGCGTTGTGTGTGGATGTAAGTTTTCCACTCACATGTTTATATACATGTGGTACACTACTGAGAAGTGGTGCACACAAGACAAAGTTGGAGAAGAGTCACGGGTACGACACCGGACTAGTCTCAGAGGTGAGAGGTATGAGTTACGAGGAAAGGCTACGGGAGGTATACCTCACGTCCCTGGAAGATGGAAGAGTTAGGAGAGACATGATCACCACCTACAAGATTCTCAGAGGAATTGATAGGGTGGACGAAGATAAACTATTTAACACGGGTGGAACACGAACAAGGGAACACAGGTGGAAACTTAGTACATAAATGAGCCATAAAGACATTAGAGAGAATTTGTTTAGTGTCAGAGTAGTTAACAGGTGGAATGCATTAGGCAGTGATGTGGTGGAGGCTGACTCCATACACAGTTTCAAGTGTAGATATGATAGAGCCCGGCCAACATGTTTAAGAATCTGGACACCACTTGATTGACAGTTGACAGGCGGGGTCCAAAGAGCCGAAGCTCAACCCCTTTAAGTGCAATTAGGTGAGTACACCCCAAAGTATATATATATATATATATATATATATATATATATATATATATATATATATATATATATATATATATACATACACATATACATATATATACACCAATTGTTCTGTGATGTATATCTCGGCATGTGTGTGTGTGTGTGTGTGTGTGTGTGTGTGTGTGTGTGTGTGTGTGTGTGTGTGTGTGTGTGTGTGTGTGTGTGTGTGTGTGTGTGTGTGTGTGCACAAGTGTCTGGACCAATAGCGCTCCGAGCCCTGAGGATGTAAATAGTGACGGTCTACTACTTGTTGGCTGATGGCTGAGGAACACGTGTTCTCTATTGATTTTCCCTCATAAACATTTATCCTTAAAGCGATTGGTGTCAGCAACTCGTGTAAGCCTTGTTACTCCGCTGTAGTAACTGACTTATCCCTCTGTTAAAGCACTAGCCAACCTAATTTGGAATTGCGATGAAAGCTCATATAATGTCAGTGTGTGTGTATATTTACCTTGGTATAGTTACAGGATGAGAGCTACGCTCATGGTGTCTCGTCTTCCCAGAACTCTTTGTCGTATAACGCTTTGAAACTACTGACGGATTTAGTCACCATACAACTGCTGCATATTCCAATTTTGGTCTTACAATAGTCACGAACAGTTTATTAAGTATTTCACCATCCATAAACAGTGGTAAGACACTCGCCCGGAGCTTCGCAAGCGCTTTGGCTTGGGTTCGTATCCTGGCCGGGGAGAATTGACCGGGAGCCAATCCTTAACTGTAAGCCTCTGTTCCCCCAGCAGTGAATGGGTACCTGGTTGTTAAACGATTTAGCGGGTCGAATTCCAGGGAAAAATTAGTATTAAAGACTTGCCCGAAACGCTATGCGTGCTAGTGGCTGTACAAGAATGTAAGAACTCTTTACATTATATATATGTGTGTGTGTGTGTGTGTGTGTGTGTGTGTGTGTGTTTGTACTCACCTAGTTGTGTTTGCGGGGGTTGAGCTCTGGCTCTTTGGTCCCGCCTCTCAACCGTCAATCAACAACACACGTGCGCGCGCGCGCGCGCGTGTGTGTGTGTGTGTGTGTGTGTGTGTGTGTGTGTGTGTGTGTGTGTGTGTGTGTGTGTGTGTGTGTGTTATCACGACCATCCCATCGCTTCTTATGTTTACGTCGAGTTTCCCGCCCTTCCAGTTACACCAGTCGAGCGCCGTGGGTGTGGCTGGCCTCTTCAAGGGCTGTAGGGGTACTGACAGATGTAGCGGAGCTCCTTGCCGCAGTAGGCGCTGTTGAGGCCCAGCTTGGAGGCGGTGAGGCAGCCCTCCACCCCTCCTGGGGCCGAGGGGCGGCCCTTGAGCCACCCGTGGCTGACCTCGGCCCCGGAGAGCCAGTGCCACGGGGTCGACTCCAGCTGGAGCTGGAGTCCCACGCCTGTGTCGCTCCTGGAGGACTTCTCCGTCACCTCCTCCACTTCCAGCTCCTCTCCTCCCACCCACAGCTCCTCCTCGCCTGCTTGTGATAATGGATAGTAATTATAGGTGATGAGAGTAGTGATGACTGATGTGATGGGAGAAATGGAGCACGTTCAGGGACATTCAGAATCTGATTTGAAGAACACTGACATTCAGAGAGACATCCAGACTCAGTAGCCTCCCTCTCAGAGCTACCCGGTACCCTCCCACGGAAGTCTTTGAAGTCCTGTCGCGGAGCCTTCCCAGGAGCCTAGCTAGGAGACCTGGGCGAGTTATGTGTGAGGCGTGACTGTGTGCACCTCACACTCACACTCACAGTGTGTGAGGATACAGCTTCAGTCATGCAGTATCTCTAGTTTCTGCCGGTGGCTCAGCTCATGTTGTTATCTTTAACTAGTATTTCTAAATTAAAAGTAAATAATGAGAAATATATGTCAAATGTTAATGAGGCTATCCAGTTGCCTTTAAATTAACGTATTTGATGAGGGATTTGTAATAATTAATAATGATTGATGTCAAGGAGTGAAGGTCACTCACTACAGTGAATATAGTGATTATGATGTTGATGTTATCATTACGTTGAAGATGTTATCATTACGTTGTTACGTTATCATTACGTTGAAGATGACACACAACTCCATTTGTCTACACATAAATGGACGGTGTATACCCTTCGCCTGCACTCTGCCGCTATCTTACCTGTTATCTCCATATCCTCTCCTTACAGCTTCTACCCCTTTATCCTTCTCCTTCCCCTTTACCCTATTATCCTCCCCCCCCTTTTGATACATTCCCTTACCTCCTTTATTTCCATTTCCTCCCCAACTCACTCTCATCTCCTCCCATTCCTTCTCTCCCATCTCATGTTCTACAACAGAACCTAACCACCTAACCTAACCTAACCTATGCCTAACCTAACCTAACCTAACCTAACCTAACCTATGCCTAACCTAACCTAACCTAACCTAACCTATGCCTAACCAACCCGTTCTCGCACTTTCTTACAGTCAATATTGACTTATTAAATACGTGCATATGTGACATACTTAGCATACTAGTTTACCTTGAAAAGCTTCATAAAAAACACCGACCTTACCTAACCTTCTTAGTATGTTAAGATAAGCATCTTATTGCTTCGTAATTACAATTATTACTTAACCTATACCTATAACAGGTTAAGTAATAATTGTAATTACGAAGCAATAAGATGCTTATCTTAACATACTAAGAAGGTTAGGCAAGGTCGGTGTTTTCTATGAAGCTTTTCAAGGTAAACTAGTATGTTAAATATGTCACATATGCACGTATTTAATAAGTCAATATTGACTATACGAAAGTGCGAGAACGAGTTGGCCTAACACTACCAGCCCAGCCTCCTAAAGGGAAGTACTTATAGTAACTACTTGATGGAAAGTACCAACATGTAGTGATGGACCGCCAGACAGTTCATTATTGTATGGTTAAATTTGGACAAACCAGGAATGTTGTTTAACAGCAACATAAATATAAGATCTAACCCTAACCTCTCCTCGTAATTCTAGTCCTAATACACGGTATCTTAGGCCTAATATAGTACATATATGTGCCATAATAGGCTTAGGAATATTTAAGCTTGGTTTTTTATCTTTATTTTTTCCGGACTGTATAAAATATAAAATTAATAGTACAAAAAGTGGTTTTACTGGCGGTGCATCACTACACGTTGGTACTTTGGACAAAATGGTTATAATAAGTATTTTAATTTCAGGAGCATGGGGTTAAAATATGCACAATGTGTTAATATAAACAGAAATATAATAATATATATATATAATATATATATATATATATATATATATATATATATATATATATATATATAATATATATAATATATATATATATATATATATATATATATATATATATATATATATATATATATATATATATATATATATATATATATGAAAACATTCCAATTTTGAGTGAACATCTTATTAAAATTGCAGAATGCATCTTGGGGGTCGGCCGCTGCATGGCATGAACAGAACCACAAGGGCGGGTGGCAGGAATAGGTGACGGATGGCAGGAATGGGTGACGGGTAACAGGAATGGGTGACGGGTGGCAGGAATGGGTGACGGGTGGCAGGAATGGGTGACGGATGACAGGAATGGGTGACGGATGACTGGAATGGGTGACGGATGACAGGAATGGGTGACGGGTGGCAGGAATGGGTGACGGGTGGCAGGAATGGGTGACGGGTGGCAGGAATGGGTGACGGATGACAGGAATGGGTGACGGATGACAGGAATGGGTGACGGATGACAGGAATGGGTGACGGATGACAGGAATGGGTGACGGGTGGCAGGAATGGGTGACGGGTGGCAGGAATGGGTGACGGATGACAGGAATGGGTGACGGATGACTGGAATGGGTGACGGATGACAGGAATGGGTGACGGATGGCAGGAATGGGTGACGGATGACAGGAATGGGTGACGGATGACAGGAATGGGTGACGGATGACAGGAATGGGTGACGGATGACAGGAATGGGTGACGGATGACAGGAATGGGTGACGGATGACAGGAATGGGTGACGGATGACAGGAATGGGTGACGGATGACAGGAATGGGTGACGGATGACAGGAATGGGTGACGGATGGCAGGAATGGGTGACGGGACTCACCAATGTGGTTCCTGATGGCCAGGATGAAGGTAATGGGGTCTTCGGGTTGGGCGAGTTCGGCGCCCACGTTCTTGCAGAACTTCCTGGCCTGGGGCCACGTGAGCTGCTCCACCTCCTCGCTGAACCAGAAGCACTCCTGCCCCTCCAGGACGAAGCTGTCAGGACAATGGGCGACTGCCGGGAGGAAAGGTGGATGACGATGGGTTTTTTGACGAGTTACACCTACTTCCTTATTCATATATTTTGGTAATTTATAGAACATAAGTCATGCACTCCCACATGTACTTACAATAATACAGTCCCACTTGAACTCCAAACATTCATTCTTATTATCCCTCCTGCCTTGCTACCTTCTTCTCTCTCCCTCCCTCCATTATTTCCTACCTTCCTTCCTCCCTCCTTCCCTACCTCACTCTCAGTTTCAGTGGAACACAATTTCCGTCACGTACCAACAACATCGTCCATGCAACTTTTGGAGCTTGCGTTTATAAAGTTGTCGGTGAAGTTGTCAAAGTCGGAGGTAAAGTTGTCAAAGTTGGCGGTGAACTTGTCAAAGTTGCCCACTACGAGCTCGAGGGCCTCCGTCACGTTGTGGAAGTCTGCCTGCAGCTTCAGGAGGCCCGTCGCCGTCACCTGCGCCAGCTCCAGCGCCTCTGTGGAGGCAAGTCATAATAATATAAAGGAATGTAGCATCTTTCTGGCACTGCATTGGCACACAGTGAGAGTTATTATCATCATTCACTTGTAAACATTGTTTCCTCTTATGCTTTATAGGAAGATATTTGCAGGTTGGATATATATATATATATATATATATATATATATATATATATATATATATAAATATATATATATATATATATATATATATATATATATATATATATATATATATATATATAGTGTGTGTATGTGTGTATTCACCTAGTTATGTTTGCGGGGGTTGAGCTTTGCTCTTTCGGCCCGCCTCTCAACTGTCAACCAACTGTTTACTAACTACTTTTTTTCCTCTGTGTGTGTGTTGTGTGGGAGTGATTTATATCAAAAAGGATTATCTGTCGATGATTTTTTTAACTGAAAAGTGTCTCGGAGTTTATCAGTGTTAAGTGTGACTCAGATTCTCACCCCTATTCTCTCTCTCTCTCTCTCTCTCTCTCTCTCTCTCTCTCTCTCTCTCTCTCTCTCTCTCTCTCTCTCTCTCTCTCTCTCTCTCCGAAAGAGTTTCTTAGTTTCTCTCTCAAGAGTGTCTCTCTGTCTCAGAATACCTCCGAGTTCCTTTCACTCAGAGAGAGCCTTTCCGCTCAGAGTGTCTCAGAGGCGTTCACTTTCTCACACTGAGTCAATCAATAACATACGCCAGAGTGCGTGAGTGCGTGTGGTTGGGCTCACCTTTGGCGAGGGAGGAGTGGTTGAGGAGGAGCTGGTCGAACACCTCCTTCAGCGTCGCCTGCAGTCCTGGGGGTGTTACAAGCAGGTGTGTAAATATACTAGTAACAGACAGGTGTGTGTAAATATAGCAGTAACAGGTAGGTGTGTAAATATAGCAGTAACAGACAGGTCTGTAAATATAACAGTAACAGGTAGGTGTGTAAATATAGCAGTAACAGGTAGGTGTGTAAATATAGCAGTAACAGACAGGTCTGTAAATATAACAGTAACAGGTAGGTGTGTAAATATAGCAGTAACAGGTAGGTGTGTAAATATAGCAGTAACAGGTAGGTGTGTAAATATAGCAGTCACAGGGAGATGAGCATATATAGTAATAACAGACAGGTATGTATATGTAGATGTCATAAGCAGATTTGTAAACATAGAAGTTAAAAGCAGGTGTGTAAATACATCACTTAATTGGAAGAGGTTCGGTAAATACAGCAAATATAAGCAGGTGTGTAAATACAGCAAGTATAAGCAGGTGTGTAAATACAGCAAGCATAAGCAGGTGTGTAAATACGGCAAGTATAAGCAGGTGTGTAAATACGGCAAGTATAAGCAGGTGTGTAAATACGGCAAGTATAAGCAGGTGTGTAAATACGGCAAGTATAAGCAGGTGTGTAAATACGGCAAATATAAGCAGGTGTGTAAATACAGCAGTTAAAACCGGGTGTATAAATACAGCAGTTACAGGCAGGTGTACATAGATTAGCAGTTACATGAGTTGTGACCCCAAAGAGATATCACTAAATTAGCTAGGCGCTCTCTCAAACTATGATGCAGCGAAAGTGTTTATGGGTGTGTATGAATAGGATGAGGTTCCTTCTGAATGAAGAATGCATTCATTCTTAATCAGTATTCTTATGGGGGTTCGTCCCTCTATGACCGCGTTACACCTACATCTACGTTACATTATGTAACTACATCTTATCAAGACTGTAACTTATTTAGCTTAATGAACTTAGGGGTTCAGTTCCTGAGCCCACAGGATGAGTATGGGGTCCACTGCCGCCCACAGGATGGGTATGGGGTCCACTGCCGCCCATAGGATGGGTATGGGGATCCACTACCGCCCACAGGATGGGTATGAGGTCCACTACCGCCCACAGGATGGGTATGGGGTCCACTACCGCCCACAGGATGGGTATGGGGTCCACTACCGCCCACAGGATGGGTATGGGGTCCACTACCGCCCACAGGATGGGTATGGGGGTCCACTACCGCCCACAGGATGGGTATGGGGTCCACTACCGCCCACAGGATGGGTATGGGGTCCACTACCGCCCACAGGATGGGTATGGGGTCCACTACCGCCCACAAGTTCATCACAGGAGTGGCTAGTACAGGAGACCCATCCTGTACTCCCCACGAGATGGGTCTCTGGTCCACTACCGCCCACAGGATGGGTCTCTGGTCCACTACCGCCCACAGGATGGGTCTCTGGTCCACTACCGCCCACAGGATGGGTCTCTGGTCCACTACCGCCCACAGGATGGGTATGGCGTGCATAATAAATTAATAAATTAACTAAATAAAAAAAAAATAAAGGGGAGTACAGCATGTTGTTGTTAAAGATTCGCTACCTAGAACAAAGTTCCAAGGAGCACGGGCTATGGTGAGCCCGTCGGAGTACAGCAATTGCCCGAGAGCTAGAGGGGCAGCAGGCGAAAGCTCAAGGAGTGGGGGAATCTGCTTGATTAGTGTAGAATGCGTTTCATTTACACAATAACTGGTCCCATTTGTGTACAAAATACAGGTGGCTGTCTGTGAGTGTGTTAGTGAGGAGGAATGAACAGGAGGAGCGGAATCAATGAAGAATGTAGCAGAGACTATTGAGGCTCTGTTGATTTAGGAATCTTATCAGCTATTAAAGTACTGGAACATTAAAACAATTTGAAAAACATTTCAGAACAAGAGTTTGTTCACCATGTGTGTAGAATGGTTAGAAATAACAATGAGAGGTGATGCTGGTCCAGGACACAAGGATCAAATTCCGTTTACTGGCCTGTGTGTGTGTGTGTGTGTGTGTGTGTGTGTGTGTGTGTGTGTGTGTGTGTGTGTGTGTGTGTGTGTGTGTGTGAGAGTGAGTGAGTGAGTGTGTGTGTGTGTGTGTGTGTGTGTGTGTGTGTGTGTGTGAGTGAGTGTGTGTGTGTGTGTGTGTGTGTGTGTGTGTGTGTGTGTGTGTGTGTGTGTGTGTGTGTGTGTGTGTGTGTGTGTGTGTGTGTGTGAGTGAGTGAGTGAGTGAGTGAGTGAGTGAGTGAGTGAGTGAGTGAGTGTGTGTGTGTGTGTGTGTGTGTGTGTGTGTGTGTGTGTGTGTGTGTGTGTGTGTGAGTGCCAAAGATGTCGGCGGTAATCACATGCTAACGGCAAGAACAGAGAGCCACGCAAGGCACTCATTCGTTGTCAGTCAACCAGTCATCATGGAGATCCTGTGAGTGATTGGGCCTTGTAGAGGCGGGTCTAAACCCTTATAAGCGTAGGACTGAAAGACGAACACAGAGGCGGGGCTCATGTGGAAACACTGTCACAATTCTGCAGTAAACAAGGCAGAATGAAAGTGGCTTCCGGCCAGAGGAGTGTATCAATGCACACATAGAATTAAGAGGGAAATCGCTGCGGATTCTGTCCGCATTACGGAATCTTAGTGTTTCTCTTAGTGAACAAAATCTGAAATATTAAAGTAAGTCTCTTTTGTCCTGTAATTCGACATTAGTACAGTAATTCATAATTTGACATTGCCTGTCAATTGCTTTGAGAGATTCTAACTAGTTTAATTTTTAATTGTTAGAGATTCTAACTAGCTTAATTTTTTTCTGTTCAATAAATTTGCCGTTGCGATCTGAAAGTATTCAACTTTTAAATTTATTACTTTCCTTGGATTTATTCTTTCTGTTATCTATCTATGTATAGCTGTTTATATAAATTAATATTATTTGTTCACTGTGGCACCTGTAATGCGCCCTCCCCAATATTTTTACGGCTGGGTGAAACTTATATACGTTAGTGGAAGTGAACACTTTATATCATATACATAAGTCAAGTTGTTCAAGTAAAGGCAAAGAGAGAAGTAAGACAGTAGAGGAGAGGAATAAAGTAGAAGAGAGAATGTGAGATATTACCTTGAATCTCAATCCTGTGAGCGGCGTCGAGTTCGTCCAGTTGTCGTCGCAGGTCGACCACGTCCGAGCCTGTGTTATTGAAGCCCTCCGCCAGTGTCTGCAGCAGCGCCGCCACCGACGACTCTGCCGGAGACAACCTCTTTTTTTTTTTATTATTAACACATTTAGGTACATGTGCATTTGTGCAGCTGCCCTAGACTATATGAAGGGGAGTACAGTGTCTCTCAAAACATTAGCTACGTGACACTAAAAATCTCCATCACACAGGGTCATGTGATCAGTAGTCTGCACTGGCAGACTCTGGGTGTAGTATGAGGATATCATCATCAACAGGAGAGTGGATAAAGTAATTGTAAAGCTCCAGATACCTCATGACAACGGGTCTGAATGGTCTGATAACTGGGCATTCGGTGATGCAGTGTGGGAGATCATGCCGCAGTTTCTGCTCACAGAGTTTGCACCTGGAGTGCTCAGGATTGGGAGATCCGTCACCTGTAGCCACCTGCCACAGGTAACGGTAACCCAACCTGATCCTGGCAACCACTGTGTCGCACAGTCTCGTCCACGTTTTGTGTTGGCCATAAACATAGGTTTCAGATATGAACAAATCATAGCTTTTTATACTGGTGCTTTCAGGTCGTTGGGAGTCAGTAATTTCTCTCCTATCAGACCTGAGTGTTTGGAACACTATGGTCTTGACAGCAGAGATAGGGATACCTAGGTCTAATTCACATGACCACAGAGTCTTCGGTGTGTTTGTGTTCTCCTCACTACTGATTCCTATTGGCATAGCTTGACCTTTTCCACCCAATGTGGCTGAGTGGATCTTTTTATCCCTGCTTCACTGTTTGAGGATCACTCTTGACTTTCTTCACACACAAGTGGTTATTACAGCTACATCCCTGACCTGGTTTTGGTCTGGGTAATGATGTAAAGACCCTTTCCTCTCCTTCCACATATTCCAGACTCTTATCTTTCTCTTCGTCGTACCACATTTTTTCTCTTCCTTAAAACTTTCTGCTTCTCCTTCCTTCTTTCTTACTCTCTAATACCTTTATAATATTCTTTGCTTCTTTTACACCATCCTCCCTCATACTACTTACTCTTCACGCCAAAACTCCAACACACTGAAAAATATAGGAATAATTTGTTTTGGTTCAAAGTCAGCTCCTCAAGCATTTGAAAACCTTATATGTAAAGTAGATACTTGAATGTTGTAACATCTGTTATAAATAATATCATTAATACATGAAGTAAAAATTTCACCTATCATTAGTATGGATATCATCTGACATAGGTGTTATACAGCAAGATACGGACAAGGCAGTTAAAACTAGATTAGCACTCCATAAACTGTGTGAGAGGTTGGACACACTCTCCAACACTACTTGTGAATGCCCTGTTATCAATGTTTTTAGACCAAATGGCATGAGATACTTTGAGCTCTGTAACTACCTCATACATTCACGAATATTGGAAGATATTCTTGTGCTCTACCCAGAGTTTGCTAGTGCTGGCTAGTAGAATAGACTCGCATCTCGTGTTATCTCTTGATTCCATGTATCACTAAGCATCCTGTGAGATGGGGAGATATTAGATGAGCTCATAGCTAGCTCTTGATCTATACCCTGTAATCCCTCATATAAAATAGGGTAGCAGCACATTGTTGTGTCATTTACCCATTTTAGTCAATAAATTTGTATTATTCTCTCTCCTGTGGCTCTGTCATCAGTGTTCTCCCTTTCCCAGATGGCTTTCCATTCTTCACACTCTCCTTTCCCTACTCCTTCCAATCTCCGCCTTCCCCTGCCCCTCCTTGATGTACTCCCACTCCTCGCTTGGTGTTCAATCAGTACCAATCTTGTGTTATGAGCCCCCAAGACGCTACTCCCCCACCTCGCCCTCCTTGTCTTGGTCTCACCTTCAGCAAGGGAGCTGTGGTTCTTCCAGAGTTGGGCCACTTCCTCCTTCACCGTCTCCTTGAGTTCTGTGGAATTTACAAGCAGGGTTGTAAGTATAGAGTTTGCATCAAACCATATTAGTATCAAACCAGTTACTCGTGACACTATTACTTCTCACATGTGGAGAGCATACCTACATGTAAACCTTTTTTGAGCGTTTAACAGCGCTCTGCTAACTATAAATGTCCATCACTCTAAAATGTCTTTCCTTAACTACGTCTTGTACATTTAGAAAGTCCATCAATGTCATGTAGAGGTTACGAATATCTACTGTACACAGGCTCCTCCACCAGAGAACCTACCTGACCAGTTCTGATCAATTTATCTATAATTCTAATGTCTTGATAATTCTCACACTCGCTACGTTCTCAAGTTGTATATAGTGTTACCATCTCCCCTGTTTCCAGTCAATTCATTAGCACTATTCAAAGCCGTCTAGCAAATTCTCCACCCACTCCTCACGTACCCAACCACTTGGGCTGGACGGTAGAGCGACGGTCTCGCTTCATGCAGGTTGGCGTTCAATCCCCGACCGTCCACAAGTGGTTGGGCACCATTCACCCCTCCCCCTCCCCCAGTTCCATCCCAAATTCTAATCCTGATCCCTTCCCAGTGCTATAGTCGTAATGGCTTAGCGCTTTCTCCAGATTTCTCCTGTTCCATCCCCCATTCCCCTTTTCTCCACCGCATTTAATCATATTATATCGTCACCGGCAACTTTGGCACATGTCAGCTTCTTAGGTGATGTACTCTTGCACACCAGGATGTTGTTGTACACTCCTGCACGCTTCTCACACCGTGCAACCCACTCAGTGTTCACGCTACCTCAGCCTTTATCTCTTTCACCCGCTATACATGTGACACATTCTCTCCACCTGCTTATAGTCTCCTCTTTATCATTACACTTATTGTCTTATGAGTGATGAGAGGAATTAAGCAGAAGAGGAAATGAGTAAGACAGTAGAGGAGAGGAATAAAGTAGAAGAGAGAATGTGAGATATTACCTTTGAAATTGAAATTGAAATTGAAATAAGTTTATTGAGGTAAAATACACACAAAGGGCTGAGGTAGCTCAAGCTATTCTCACCCCGTTCAGTACATCGTGTTAATACATACATAGACACACATCACAAGCAATAAACGTATTACCGAACATTCTGAGATATTACCTTGAATCTCAATCCTGTGAGCGGCGTCGAGTTCGTCCAGTCGTCGTCGCAGGTCGACCACGTCCGAGCCTGTGTTGTTGAAGCCCTCCGCCAGTGTCTGCAGCAGCGCCGCCACCGACGACTCTGCCGAAGACAACCTCACATGATCACACAGTCTTCGGTGTGTTTGTGTTCGCCTCACTAGTTTGACTATATTGGACACGGAAGGGCTATGAGGGCTGGGATATGGGGTCAGGGTAAAGGAACGATGCCCAACCACTTCAACCAACGTGGATCGAACCCCGATTGCTACCATCATAGGTCTCATAGTGGTGCCTTCATACCCCTTCTCCCCGAGTACTACCACAACATCCATCTCTTCAAAATTGGACCTTCCTGGACTGTGAGAGAATATATTGCACTTTCCAAATAAACATCCCTTCCTTTCCTCCCATGAGGTTAAAGCCGTAGGCCAGTTAGATATTCCGTGCACAGAGCGCTATTCCTCCCAAACTGTGTGTGTAAGGAGTCCTACAGCCCATTAGTGTTGATGGGGACTTTAAGTATCACTGCTATCTTATTCACTCTTGTGTTCGTGATATTATCCTCATAATGCACCCATTGCAAACTCTGCAGTAGCAGTGTTTGCCAATGCAGTGAGGATTTTAGCATCACGTAGCTAGCTTTTTGACACGCTGTACTCCCCTTCATATAGTCCAGGGCAGATGTACCTAAATGTGTTAATAAAAAAGGTAGTGTTGTCACCGTGGATGGTGTCAGTAATGCTGTCACTGAGACACAGTAATGACCCTGTGAGGAAGCCTCAGTATAAACAACATAACCTTGTACACACTCTAAGCACTCCAATGTGTACATAATTGTGTGTGATGCCAGCCACAGACCCCCACCCCCAGCCTTCACCCTACATAGTTAAGAGACTATTGAGTGGGAATATCATCCCATACAGAGCCTCTCGTGGGACGCCAGAAGGTCGCACGTGTTGGTGCAGGTGTGTTCCTCAGTGTTGGAGTCAGTGACGACGGCATTTATAATTAATCCATATCATTAACCGTATATGATGGTCTATATCGCTGGTCCAGGTACTGATAATGGCATGTTTCACGGGACACTGATATATCTCACCACAACAGCTCAGTAAACCTAGCAGACAATGATACATATTCACCAGAGTTTACAAACTGGTCATATTTGCCACATGTGTCATATTTGCCACATACTGATCATTGGGTCTTCGTTCTCATCATGCGAATTATCTCATTAAAGGTCTCATTATGAATATGTTTATGAATATTCCCACTTGGGCTGGACGGTAGAGCGACGGTCTCGCTTCATGCAGGTCGGCGTTCAATCCCCGACCGTCCAAGTGGTTGGGCACCATTCCTTCCCCCCCGTCCCATCCCAAACTCCTGACTCTTCCAAGTGCTATATAGTCGCAATGGCTTGGCGCTTTTCCCCTGATAATTCCCCTCCCTCCCTTCATTACTGTTCTTATGAATATCCCCATTAACATATCATCAAAATAAAGGAAACATATATTAAATAAGATTTAAGGAGAATTTATTTATAAAATAAACTGATACAATTATTGTGTGCGTGGTGATGGGGCTGTGTCTCGCGTTATGTTGAAGAGGCACAGGTACACCATATATTATATATAATATATGGTGTACCATAATATATTATATATAATATATAATATATATATATATATATATATATGAAGGTGAAAAACATGGGGGGATACATAAGGGATAAACATAGGGGCTGCAGAAGGCGTATTGGCCCATACGAGGCATCTCCTATCTAAACACAAAGATTAATCCAGTGTAATTGGCCTGTTATGTTGGCCATTGTCTTCTGTGTTGGCATCGATATGTTCTTGTCTTGTCCTTACTCTCATGGTGGGTAGAGTATTGTCTTCTGTGTTGGCATCGATATGTTCTTGTCTTGTCCTTACTCTCATGGTGGGTAGAGTACCTTCACCTTCATTGTATTATCACCTGACCTAATGCGGGTATAAAATCAACTAGTATATATATATATATATATATATATATATATATATATATATATATATATATATATATATATATAACATTTTATTAAAAAAAATAGTTTGTATCCGACCACAGTCCGAGACGGTAAACAAATTATGTAGGCAGCACCAGAAGCTTGAGACATTAAACCTTATATTTTTTTCAGATATTTTTATTATATATCTTTACCTTCACTTATAAGCCCATTTATAGAGCACTTTGAATATGCTGTGTGAGTTACAAACACCACCTACCCAACACTCATCACCCTATATGTCTCAACATATTAGAAACCCTTTTTAAATCATGTTACTATTTAAATCATGTTACTATTTAAATCATGTTACTATTTAAATCATGTTACTATTAAAATCATGTTACTATTAAAATCATGTTACTTACATCTCACTAACCAGGCTTTGTCTAGACTTCCTGTGAGTTCCAACAACCTGTTGGTGTGTACTTGATCAAATGCAGAATGTATACTTTACACATAACATCATTATACAAAACATGTAGGATTTTGTGATCACATTCCCACGAAATGTCCAAGTACTTCTTCATAAATTGTGTATTGTCTTAAATCTTAGTTCAATATTATTGCGTTAACATTTATAAATAGTTGTGTACTGCTGTTACCTGTTTTGCTGAAGCAGCCGGGCTCCAGCTCCTCGACTGGTTATGTCTCTGTACCCCTATTAACACCGCCCATAATATGAGTAAGGGGTGTCTCTGTAGACCTATTAACACCGCCCATATGGGTAAGAGATGCTCAATGAAAATCATCAAACAATTTAGATTTCCCAGCACCCCGAGCCTCGCTACCGCCCATGACGTAGCCCTTCTCCGTCCCATCAGGCGTCCGGCCTTACCTTGCTTGGTGTTGGAGGCGCTGAAGCCACCGGAGACCTGGTTCCTGGAGTCGACAACCTCCCTGGAGAGGATCTTGAAGCCCTCAGACACCAACTGCAGCAGTTGCTTCTGGTACTCGTGCTCCTTGGCGTCCTCCTCCTCCTCTGCAACACCTCACCAGATGTTAGTTTAGTCACTTTGTTAATTATTAATACTTTTGAAATTCATGTATAATGGGTGAATTGGGAACATTTATATGAGACGTAGTGTCGTGGAACCTGGACTCCCCGGACCCTACACTACTCCCTGGACCCTTCTTCACAGCACCTCCCCCCCCCCCGTTCTCCCATAACTCTCCCTCACAGCACCCCCCTCTCTCTCCCTGATCCTCCCCCCCCCCCCATCACCGACCTTGAGGGTGCCTGCTCACTCGGTCTCCTCATCAACCCCCAACACTTAAGCCTTCAGTAAATAATAATCACAGTCATATATCTCCAGGCATCTGGGTTTGGGGCTCCATTTATTTGCAGTTTTCCCGGTCCTTAAAGTCTAAAAATTCTTCATCTCTTTCTTTTCTTCTTCCTACAACGATGAAGCAATTTTCACTAAAGACAATTTCTCTGCAACACGGTGCAAGCAAGAGTCTGAATGTATGACAGGGAGTTGGTTCCATTACGTTTGTTTCTCACCAGTTTCGCGGACCCGTCTTGAACTCTGTCTTGAGAAATTTTTGATGTGATTCAACTTTACTGATCACTGAAGGTCTGGAAGGCGGTTGTCCAGGAGTGTGCTAGTGGAGGTGCACATCTTTAATGTCAGTCGAGGGCTTACACAGTCCGGTCCCTTGATAACATCTGTGTCGAGGAGTTTTTCTACTTGTTGTGTTGAAGTGTAGCATGTATGGGTAAGGGAAGGCAACACTGGGGGAAAATCGACTTATAACTGCATGTAACATACGAAGTGAGAAGCAGGATACTGGTCCCACCCACTGCACCAGAGAATGTATGATGGCTGTGCACGGTTGCCTAATGCTGGCATAGAGGCATCAGATGCATGACCTTATTCTTTCTTGATTATGTCTCGCCAAACTTTACTGCTTACCGATTGAACTAATAATTAGTTTCTCAGGTACACATGCGATCTGTCAGCGGCTCATTTTCGCACTTGTGTCATACGGTCACACACGATCTTGTCTCCATTGACTGATCTTCTTTTACACCGATTTCAGACTATTGAATTATCATCGGTTTAATCAGTGATGTAAATGGGTTTTGGGAACTGGGTATTATAGGCTAAAGCTGCATCCAAGATTCATGCTCTGGGATCACCAGCGGTCCATCCATAAGTATAACAAGTTAAACAAGTAACTTTAATTTATAGAAGCCTGACAAAGGATACCAAATAAACGCCCATCAGTACAGAATTTGTAAATGAAAAACTGGATTGAGAAGAAGGTATACCCAGTACAAATTTCCATCACTGGGTTTAATTATGTAGACTTTTTTGAAAGGACAAATGCAATCTGGATTGCTTTGTATTTTGAACAATAACATTTCAGGCCTACAAATTTACGTTAGAATAAGCTCCAGATTTCACTGTCCATTGAGTCGTACACCCCGTCATCTCCGTGACCCTTGACCCTGGTGGTGTACGATGTGGCACCGCCTCTGGTAGTGCCAATGTTGGGGAGCTGTACTTGGTGGTCTGAGGTGCCACCAGCTCCAAAGCATGACAGATAACGAGCCGCTTTGTCCGGCCTGTGATCGTTGGGTCGAGTGATATCCTGGCAGATGTGAAACACCAGTGACGTGGTTGTCAGACCCACGATGTCTCACAGCTCATCAGGTCCTCGCGCCACCAGGTGATGGTTCGTGTCACCCACAACCATGAAGTGCTGACATTGGGTATGATACAGTGGCTCAACCACGACACATCACTGCCTCTCACCACACATCAACCACGACACATCACTGCCTCTCACCACACTCCATCATCAACTACTACACATCACTGCCTCTCACCACACATCAACCACGACACATCACTGCCTCTCACCACACTCCATCATCAACCACTACACATCACTGCCTCTCACCACACATCAACCACGACACATCACTGCCTCTCACCACACATCAACCACGACACATCACTGCCTCCCAACACACACATCAACCACTACACATCACCACACCTCATACATCACCTACAATGCACTAAATACATTCACAGTCATGATTCCAGCACCAGCAATACAATACTCGAGGGGTGACTTACCAGTCTCCTTCACACAGGTGGTGGTGCTGCTCTCCGACTCCGTCAGTTCCGCCACCAGCTGGTTGAGTTGCGTGATGGCCAGCTGGTTCGACAGAGCCGTCATACGGAGGTAATCATCCAAGTCGACATTGGCACCAACCTCAGGCACTGTCCCTCCATCAGGCACTGTGCCACTGAAGGGCTGTTGTGGGGACATTATAGGCAAAAGAATGCTGTTGAGCAGCAGCTGGTACTGGAGAATAGGATTTCCCAGCATGAGATTGGGAACGCTTTCCATCCTCCTGCACAATGTCCAGGCGAAGTAGCTACCAGCCTGGGAAGAGACAGCACGCTAATGCTGAAGAACTCTGTTGCGGTGTTTGGGAGAAATCCGGCGCGCTGTGGTAGATGGGGTGCTCTGTTGCGTTGAAAGTTGTGTGAATAGTGTTGCTGGAGTCAGAGGGTGTGAACAACTGTGGAGGATAGCTTTGATCTGTGTTTACATAACACGAATGAAATCAAGTTCGACTGAAATGCGTGAGTGTGGCGTGTTTAATACCATGTAAATTAGGCTCTTTAGTAACGTTTACAGCTGGTTTTGGTTACGATGAGACGAGTATAAATTTGGAGAGGTGTGTGGTGACGTTCAGACCAAGACGGTCATCAATATGGCGGACGTGGGAGGCTGTGATGTTCGATTCCGTGAGTCTATCTGTGAAAGAGATTGTTGGAGAAGGCTTGGCACGAGTACGGACGAGCGAAGGTTTACGATGGTGATGGTTGGGTTGAGGATGACACCATGAAGAAGGCCAGTGTGTGTGTGTCTGTGTGTGGAGCGGCTGTGATCTAGTGCAGAGTGCCACCAGAGTGCCACACGATACGCGAATATCAGTGCCAGGCAGTGCACCAGTACCTCCACCAGCGTGGTCATGGGGAACTACACTCACAATCCTCTCCCCTCCTACACTCACCTCCCCCCTCTCTCTTTCTCTCCTATTTTCTCCTCCCTCTCCCTTAACTCCTCCCGTCTATCTCTCCCTCTACAACCAGCCGCCCGCCGTGGGTAGCGGTTTTCCTGTGGTGGCGGTGCTGTGGCGGTGTTCCGGGGGGTGGCGGTGCTGTGGCGGTGTTCCGGGGGGTGGCGGTGCTGTGGCGGTGTTCCGGGGGGTGGCGGTGCTGTGGCGGTGTTCCGGGGGTGGCGGTGCTGTGGCGGTGTTCCGGGGGGTGGCGGTGCTGTGGCGGTGTTCCGGGGGGTGGCGGTGCTGTGGCGGTGTTCCGGGGGGTGGCGGTGCAGTGGCGGTGTTCCGGGGGGTGGCGGTGTTCCGGGGGTGACGGTGTTCCGGGGGTGGCGGTGCTGTGGCGGTGTTCCGGGGGTGGCGGTGCTGTGGCGGTGTTCCGGGGGGTGGCGGTGCTGTGGCGGTGTTCCGGGGGGTGGCGGTGCTGGGGCGGTGTTCCGGGGGTGGCGGTGCTGTGGCGGTGTTCCGGGGGTGGCGGTGTTCCGGGAGGTGGCGGTGCTGTGGCGGTGTTCCGGGGGGTGGCGGTGCTGTGGCGGTGTTCCGGGGGGTGGCGGTGCTGTGGCGGTGTTCCGGGGGGTGGCGGTGCTGTGGCGGTGTTCCGGGGGGTGGCGGTGTTCCGTGCTAATGGCCTTAATAACACTCTCTGTTTCACCCCCTTACTCCCTCTCCCTCACCATACCCCCCCCCCCTCCTCCCTCTGACCCAATAATGATTGGTCACGTTCCTTCTGGGGGTGGGAGAGGTAAGTTATTATTATTATATATATATATATATATATATATATATATATATATATATATATATATATATATATATATATATATATAAGAGAGAGAGAGAGAGAGAGAGAGGGGGGGGGGGTAACCGGCAGCACCCGTCTCTCTTCCTTCCCTTTACCCCCTCTTCCCCTTTCCCTCTTCTCTCAAAAATATATTATTACGAACCACTGGAACAGCTAATAGAGGCTCTCGAAAATTATTATGATTAATGAACACTTTAAGGGAAACACCCAAAATATTTCACACTTGACTTCATGAATGTTGTACGGGGCTTCCCTGTAAATGCTAATATTTCTTACGACATTTAACTTTGACTGACCCCTCGACCAGCCTATGTCCGTCCCGTACTCCACACCAGTCCCCCTACAAAGTTGAGTGAGGCTAACCTTAAGCGTCTGGCCTCCAACCTTGGGCAGACTCACTCTCTCTTATGGATACAGCAACATATATATGAGTGCTTCTGTTTTCCCGTTTTCCCAGTCTGCCTTCCGTTGGGTGAAAGCATCCAAGATTAGGAGTCTCGCTCCAATCCTACTTGCAAGTGATGCAGTGTTACCTTGAGGTTACCTTGAGGTTACCTTGAGGTTACCTTGAGGTTACCTTGAGGTGTTGTCCATAATTGCCTTGTTGTTTCTTGGGTTCCCAGTATAATGGCGAGAGTGTAAATCTGTTCAAAAACTCTTTAAGGATAAATATCAAACACGCTATAATTAATAATTATATATTTATATATAAAGTTCAACATATTAGGACAGTGTCAGTGATTTAGAGTATGATCCAATTTTTTTGGCAATGAGCCGACTGTAGATGGTGAGCATTTACGAGGCAGAACCACTTTGTGTATGACGTTGCCCGGAAGAGGGCGGGACACAAGAGATAGGAAGAGTTAGCCAGCTCCACCAGCGCTGAGGAGAGGGCCGGACTGGAGGTCTGGGCTGGGTACGTTACACCACACACCGACGTCCAAGGCAGCTCAACACAAGGAACAAACATGTATCAAACGCAGTTTATAAGATGTTGCAAATTATTTATCTACATTTGTACAATTTGACATATAATGCAACAACTGGAAGTTCCACCTTAGTGTTCCACAAGGCGGCCTCTGCACCGCCCTCTGGGAAAACACCAATGTGGCGCCCGGGATACCCGGCCGCCTCTATAATTCTAACAAACATTTCCTCTCTGAAGCTATCCTTCAAGGGATTTTCAAAATGATTCAGTATGAGTGCGTGTGTCATCCTCCCGGGTGCACCGAGCGAGGACGTTGTTACGTCAGCTGTGTCTCCGCCAGTGTCCAACGAGGCCAGCAGGGTGCCAGCAGAGTGCCAGCAGGGTGCCAGCAGAGTGCCAGCCGCTAGTCATCCACCAGCCCTCTTCACCTGCTCTCGACTCCCTAGCAGGACTGGCAGACTCCACAGGATTAGACAAATTTTACAAATTTAATCAGAGCGTCTACAATGTATCCGCCAAGTGTCATTGTGTATCTCGAGAAGCCGTCTCGGGTCTAACAGAACTCAACCAGGCATTATATAACACAAGAGTATCCTCAGCACCTTGGTGACTTAATTCATCTGAGTTTCCAGGAGCAGCTTGTATTGTTTCCAGCGTGTTTGGTTCATCTTCATGACAAAAACATACATCGTTCGGTTAAGTGTGTTCACCTGCCATAGTTGCCATGAAGACTCCCGCAGGTCCCGCCTCTTTACAGCACATCAATACCGTCCTGCCCACCCATAGTCCACACCTGCAGCCTCCCCTGCCTCAACCACCTCAACTCCACCCCAGCCTGCTGCAGAACCCACTGATGCTGGCCAGCCTACTGCTGCTGGTGGGGTCCCACAACCCCGACGACACCCACTGGGCCTCCCTCAGGCGTGACGACCACCTCCACACACTGCTCTCACACAACCTTCGCACCATCAATGACATCAATGAAAACCTCGCTAAAACTCTCCACCGACGTCAGCAACCAACAGGTACAGATACAGACGTAATTACTCTCGGGTTGAGGCAAAGTGTTAATTGGCCTTCAATTTAAGTTATAAGATTTATGAAGCTAATATGTGCCTCACTGACGGCAAAGAAAGATACAGTGCTCTGTCTTTCATCATTTTATCTCTATGTCTTAGTTCTGTTTTTAAACAAAATATAAAGTTCATTTATATTAGCAGTCCTGCTGCTAAGTGAATAACATGGGCCAGAAACTCTAATCCTTCATTAGCTCTTTTTAAAGCCAGACCCTAAATACGGGTTTATTTAATGAACTGATTATTATACATTTGGATAAGTATACAATTAATATAAAAGCTACGATAATATTAGTTACTAGATGAAGGAGCCAGCTGTCTGCCGGAGCCTCCAAAATGGACGATTGACTTGATTTCACAAATATATAGTTTACAAGCAAACATATTCCAAATGCGAGTCAGCTTAGGAACGATGATTGGTGTTGGAGTGGTGTTGTGGTTGCCAACTTCAGGTTGTCTACCAGATTAGGCCAGGTGAGTAACCTTGAGAAGAATGACCATGTACATAACAGTAAGGTCACAGACACCTCTCCGCCATTGAAGGGCCTCTGATGTACTGACATGGTTCAAGACAGATGGATCATGGCACAACCCGTTCTCTTAAAAATAACGTCACTTTTGGCCCGTATGCGCGCTATGGCTAAATTTGGACGTAATTTGAAATGAAATCGACTCACAAAAGTGACGTTCTGTTCCGTTTTCTATTTGAGTCGTCCGGCGTATGCGCAGAGGTTATGAGAGGACACTTTAAATTAACGTTTTTCATAACGTTTTGAAACTTTATGAGAATTTCCTGCCCACCTAACCTATCAGAGGACCCTTAACTTACTGTTGTTGAAAAAAAATCCCAAATTTATTTTAATTTTTTTTTCATTTTCAAATTACGTCCAAATTCGGCCATACGGGAAAACGGCCAAAAGTGACGTTCTTTTTAAGAGGATAGGTTGTTGGCCGATAGATTAATTGTTTTGCTCCCTCGCCCCTCCTGTGCTCTCCCCTCACACCTCCCTCTCAACTCTGCCTCACAGCTCAGCCTCACCACCTCTCCACAGAAGGTCCCGTTGAGGCAGAGGAGCCCAACGGGTGTACGAACCGGCCAGTAAGAGATGCCCCAGAGTCTCTCTCCTCCGGGTTCGTACCCCTTCAAGAGTCCGTGGTGGGCCTTCAGGAGGCGATTGTGCACCGTCGGATGAAGAAGCAACCCGCACCAGGTGAGCCGGGGGATGGAGCAGACCTTCGTCAGGTTGGTAGTTTGGGGGAATGGCAGTAATAATGACCAGGGGCCAGATTCACGAAAACAGTTACGCAAACACTTACGAACGTGTACATCTTTCCTCAATCTTTGACGGCTTTGGTTACATTTATTAAACAGTTTACAAGCAAGAAAACTTCCCATTCAACTGTTGTTATTGTTATAAACAGCCTCCTGGTGCTTGGGAGCTCATTAACTGTTTAATAATTGGAAACAAAGCCGCCAAAGATTGAGAAAAGATGTACAGGTTCGTAAGTGCTTGCGTAAGTGCTTTCGCGAATCTGGCCCCTGGATGCTGAAATGTCTGATAATACCCGCTCATACTTTTAATTTGTAATATTTGGGGATATTTGTGCCACTTATTTCCTGGGTACCACTGGTAATTTAATGTACACTCGAGTACACTAAATTAGTAGGAGATGCAGTTCCACCCCCTCCCCCTTCATCACGTTAAATGTTGATGCACAAATGTTCGTCCAGAGCAGTTGGGGTTTGGACAGCGGGGTCATGTTCACTGTGTGTTGTGGGTTATGTGTATTTGTCTTGCTTGCTTGTGTGTGCGTTCTTAACAGCTCTTGGCTAACACAGTCCGAGGGACCAGGCTTTACATCCCCAGGTCCCGTTTTTCCAACTGTCGGTCGCATAATGTTTAACAGATCTCTAACCCTGTCCACGGAGGACAGAAACAAATGTTTATATGATGCCAGCATTGTAAATGTGTGGCCACGTCTGTGGCAGAAACAAAATGCGTCGTCTCCCGACCATTTTGTTTACCGTCATATTTGTTTGGGAAGACTAGGGATAGATGAAGCCCCTAAAATGACCACCTCATGTAGTTCCTTGCAGTTGCTTACCGCCCTCACACTGATGTGTGTCTTCACGTGTCTGGGCTCTTCCCAGAGGCTAGCTTAATTCCATGCGCGTCTTTTCTCATTTAGCTACTGCTCAATGAGTGTACTATTTCTTCAAGTGTAATTAGGTTCAACTCAATCAGTCTACCCCACTGTGTGTGTGTGTGTTTATTTACTATTTGTGTCTGCAGGATCGAGTTATTAGCTCTTGATCCCCGTCTTTCTAACCAATCTAATTTTTCCTCTATTATGTCTACTACATGTATTTCTCTGGCACACGCGCATACATCTATAGGAAGCAGCCCGTAGCAGCTGTCTGACTCCCAGGTACCTGTTTACTGCGAGGTGAACAGACGCATCACGGGGAAAGGAATTGCCCATTTGTTTTCGCCTCGGCCGGGAATCAAACCCGGGCCCCTTAGTACAACGACCCCCGAGCGCTGTCCATTCAACCGCGAACCCCCCCCCCCCCGTGTGTGTGTGTAATTGCCTAATTGTAGTTATAGGATGAGAGCTACGCTAGTGGTGTCCCGTCTTCCCAGAACTCTCTCCCGTAGTTTGTTCCAAACGTCTACCACTCTAAGCAAAAGAAAACTTCCTAATGTTTTTTCGGCACCTTTGTTTCCTTAGCTTGAACCTGTGTCCTCTTTTTCGAGATGTTGCTAGTTTAAAGAATTCCTCCTTGTCAATTTGGTCGATTCCTGGTAGAATTTTGTATGTTGTGATCATATCACCTCATTTTCTTCTACCTTCTAGTTTTGGCATGTTTAATGTCTGTAGTCCCTCCTCGTAACTCTTGTTTTTCAGTTCGGAAGCCATTTTATAGCATGCCGCTGCACCTTTTCCACCTTACTGTGTTTACTAGTTGTGTTTTTGCGGGGGTTGAGCTTTGCTCTTTCGGCCCGCCTCTCAACTGTCAATCAACTGTTTACTAACTACTTTTTTTTTTTTTTTTTTTTCCACACCACACACACACACACACACACACACACAAGGAAGCAGCCCGTGACAGCTGACTAACTCCCAGGTACCTATTTACTGCTAGGTAACAGGGGCATTCAGGGTGAAAGAAACTTTGCCCATTTGTTTTTGCCTCGTGCGGGAATCGAACCCGCGCCACAGAATTACGAATCCTGCGCGCTATCCACCAGGCTACGAGGCCCCTGTGTGTGTGTGTGTGTGTGTGTGTGTGTGTGTGTGTGTGTGTGTGTGTGTGTGTGTGTACTCACCTAGTTGTTTGCGGGGGTTGAGCTCTGGCTCTTTGGTCCCGCCTCTCAACCGTCAATCAACAGGTGTACAGATTCCTGAGCCTATCGGGCTCTATCATATCTACACTTGAAACTGTGTATGGAGTCAGCCTTCACCACATCACTTCCTAATGCTTTCCATTTGTCAACCACTCTGACACTAAAAAAGTTCTTTCTAATATCTCTGTGGCTCATTTGGGCGCTCAGTTTCCACCTGTGTCCCCTTGTGCGTGTGCCCCTTGTGTTAAATAGCCTGTCTTTATCTACCCTATCAATTCCCTTGAGAATCTTGAATGTAGTGATCATGTCCCCCTAACTCTTCTGTCTTCCAGCGAAGTGAGGTTCAATTCCCGCAGTCTCTCATCGTAGCTCATACCTCTCAGCTCAGGTACTAGTCTGGTGGCAAATCTTTGAACCTTTTCCAGTTTAGTCTTATCCTTGACTAGATATGGACTCCATGCTGGGGCTGCATACTCCAGGATTGGCTTGACATATGTGGTATACAAAGTTCTGAATGATTCTTTGCACAAATTTCTGAATGCCGTTCGTATGTTGGCCAGCCTGGCATATGCCGCTGATGTTATCCTCTTGATATGTGCTGCAGGAGACAGGTCTGGCGTGATATTAACTCCCAAGTCTTTTTCTTTCTCTGACTCCTGAAGGATTTCCTCTCCCAGATGATACCTTGTATTTGGCCTCCTGCTCCCTACACCTATCTTCATTACATTACATTTGGTTGGGTTGAACTCTAATAACCACTTGTTCGACCATTCCTTCAGTTTGTCTAGGTCTTCTTGAAGCCTCAAACAGTCCTCTTCTGTCTTAATCCTTCTCATAATTTTGGCATCATCCGCAAACATTGAGAGAAATGAATCTATACCCTCCGGGAGATCATTTACATATATCAGAAACAAGATAGGACCGAGTACAGAGCCCTGTGGGACTCCACTGGTGACTTCACGCCAATCAGAGGTCTCACCCCTCACCGTAACTCTCTGCTTCCTATTGCTTAGGTACTCCCTTATCCACTGGAGCACCTTACCAGCTACACCTGCCTGTCTCTCCAGCTTATGTACCAGCCTCTTATGCGGTACTGTGTCAAAGGCTTTCCGACAATCCAAGAAAATGCAGTCCGCCCAGCCCTCTCTTTCTTGCTTAATCTGTGTCACCTGGTCATAGAATTCTATTAAGCCTGTCAGGCAAGATTTACCCTCCCTGAACCCATGTTGTCGATTTGTCACGAAGTCCCTTCTCTCCAGATGTGCTACCAGGTTTTTTCTCACGATCTTCTCCATCACCTTGCATGGTATACAAGTCAAGGATACTGGCCTGTAGTTCAGTGCCTCTTGCCTGTCGCCCTTTTTGTATATTGGGACCACATTCACCGTCTTCCATATTTCTGGTAGGTCTCCTGTCTCCAGTGACCTACTATACACTATGGAGAGTGGCAAGCAAAGTGCCTCTGCACACTCTTTCAGTACCCATGGCGAGATCCCGTCTGGACCAACAGCCTTTCTAACATCCAGATCCAGCAGGTGTCTCTTGACCTCCTCTCTCGTAATTTCAAACTCTTCCTGTGTGTGTGTGTGTGTGTGTGTGTGTGTGTGTGTGTGTGTGTGTGTGTGTGTGTGTGTGCGTGTGTGTGTGTGTGTGTGTGTGTGTGTGTGTGTGTGTGTGTGTGTGTGTGCGTGTGTGTGTGTGTGTGTGTATGTGTGTGTGTGTGTGTGTGTGTACTCACCTAATTGTACTCACCTAATTGTGCTTGCGGGGGTTGAGCTCTGGCTCTTTGGTCCCGCCTCTCAACCGTCAATCAACTGGTGTACAGATTCCTGAGCCTATTGGGCTCTATCATATCTACATTTGAAACTGTGAATGGAGTCAGCCTCCACCACATCACTTCCTAATGCATTCCATTTGCTAACTACTCTGACACTGAAAAAGTTCTTTCTAACGTCTCTGTGGCTCATTTGGGTACTCAGCTTCCACCTGTGTCCCCTTGTTCGCGTCCCACCAGTGTTGAAAAGTTCGTCCTTGTTTACTCAAAAGCTCGTCCTTGTGTGTGTGTGTGTGTGTATGTGTGTGTGTGTGTGTGTGTGTGTGTGTGTGTGCGCGTGTGTGTGTGTGTGTGTGTGCGTGCGCGTGTGTGTGTGTGAGACACTGTGGTAGCCAGTAACACCAGGCCGTGGCCACCGTACCGTTGCAGCCGTGGGGAAGGTGCTACAGTCGCTGACCGTGGAGATGGAGAGGCAGCGTGGTCGCCTTGAGAAGCTCCGCATGCAGAGAGAGACAACCGCTCACCCCCACCAAGGTCTGTACTGCGTCCAGGTCTGCCTACACCACCCACAGGTTTAGCTCTTCGGCCCCGCCTTTCTTGCCGTCGGTTATCAACTGAAGAAACTACCAACCTATTTTTTATATCATATCTATCATATTTTTAGCCGCCTCTCAGGTACCTATTTACTGCAAGGTGAACAAAGGTATCAAGTGAAAGATACTGCCCAATTGTTTATCTCGGCTGGGAACTGCACCTGGGTCTATGGAATATGAATCACGAATGTTGTATGCTAGGCCGCGGGACTCCTGGCTTTTTATCTGTATTTCTTCGACTCATTTGCGTTTCCAGCTTCTATGTCTTCTCATCCTACTTTCTCTCACTTTAAAGGGACTGTTCTTGTCCACCTTGTCAAATCCCATCAGTATCTTGTGTGTTGTGATCATATTCTCTCTTTTTTTTCTGTCTTCTTGGGTTGTGATATCTACTTCCTGTAAAGGGAGCCGGTCGGCCGAGCGGACAGCACACTGGGCTTGTGATCCTGTGGTCCCGGGCGCCGGCGAGAAACAATGGGCAGAATTTCTTTCACCCTATGCCCCTGTTACCTAGCAGTAAAATAGGTACCTGGGTGTTAGTCAGCTGTCACGGGCTGCTTCCTGGGGGTGGAGGCCTGGTCGAGGACCGGGCCGTGGGGACACTAAAGCCCCGAAATCATCTCAAGATAACCTCAAGATAACCTAGTCATAGCTTAACCCTCTTAGCTCTGGCACCAGCATTGTTGCAAAGCTCTGCACGTTTTCAATTTTGATTTTATTCTTCACAAGGTGCGGATACCCCGGGCCAGTGTGGAATATTCCAGCCTAGGTATAACAAGGCTGTGTAGACTGTCTTGAAAGAGCCCCGAGTTAGGTTTCTAAGCGTCATTCTAATGTTTGCCAGCTATGTTGTATATATGTATTGCCGGTGTTTCCCTGCCTGTGTGTGTTTCAAGTGCCATAGATCATCTCTCAAATCTTTCTATCTTTCCGACTTCTGTAGTTGAACATAAGAACATAAGAATAAAGGTAACTGCAGAAGGCCTATTGGCCCATACGAGGCAGCTCCTATTTATATCTACCCAATCCCACTCATATAATCAAAAGTCCCGTTTTCTGTTTTGGGTCCTCTGGTAGGCTAGGGTGAGGGCACTCTAGTACGACAGTTTCAAGACGTTGGGAAACCTTAGGAGGACGGGCTGGACTGTGACAGTTTTCTGTCCGTCATGTACTCCATTTGTTTCCAATAACATATTTAGGCACTCGGTACAAGTGAGACATGATTCAGGTACCCAAGATTATACTATACTCCAATGGTCTCGTAGTGCAGCTGGCTACGTTCTCCACTCACAATCGTAGGATCCCAGGTTCGATTCACTGTTGGGACAGAAATGGATGGACATGTTTCCTTTCACCTAATGCCTATTTACCTAGCAGTAAATATGTACCCAAGAGTTAGGTAACTGATTTGCGGTTCCATCCAGGGAAAGGTCAGTAGGTCAACCATGGAGTCATGATACTAGCCTAAAGTATAAATATACACGGGCTTCCTGTCCCCGACAAAACAAATAATATGAAGGGTTACATAGTGTGTGTCAAGAGGTAGGTAGGATATTAAAAGTCCCCATCGTGCAGAATGAATATCATCACACAGGGCCATGAACTTCTCCATAGAGATTTCAGCGAAGTGTCAGTTCTCTTAGTTCTCTCAACCACTTGGGCTGGACGGTAGAGCGACGATCTCGCTTCATGCAGGTCGGCGTTCAATCCCCCGAACGTCCAAGTGGTTGGGTACCAATCCTTCCCCCCGTCCCATCCCAAATCCTTATCCTGACCCCTTCCCAGTGCTATATAGTCGTAATGGCTTGGTGCTTTTCCCCTGATAGTTTCCTTCCTTTCTCTATTTTAAGTATGAAATTATTTTTGACAATTTAAATTATTTTTTTCTGTCGTATTTTTTGAGTTTGTTATATATGTTAAGTTTGCCAGTTATGACTTGCCACCTCTAAATCCAAAAATATCTCAGTAAGTTACATACACCCTGCCTCCCTTGTTAAGTTAAGTTCCCTGCCTCCCTTACCAAGTTCCACCCCCTGCCTCCCTTACCAAGTTCCACCCCCTGCCTCCCTTACCAAGTTCCACCCCCTCCCCCCGTGTAATCTTCCAAGTTTCACTCCCCTACCTACGTTAGTAAGATCACCCCTCCTACCTTAAGGTAGCCCCAGGTCCCACCACACTGAGGTAACCTCTGCTTACCCTAGCGAGGCGGTGCAGCGAGCCGTTCCTGGTGCTGGGAGAAGAGTGCCTCTACCTGAGCCACAAGAGGAAGCTGGGGTGGCACGGTGCCTCTTCCGTGTGCCAGGAGATGCAGTCCACCCTGGCTGAACCTGCCAACGTCACCGCCCTCGCTGCTATCATCAGGGCCTTCAGTGAGTATACCTCCACTGCTGCGGTGTACAGTGAGTATACTCCATTCTCTGCTGCGGTGTACAGTGAGTATACTCCATTCTCTGCTGCGGTGTACAGTGAGTATACCTCCACTCTGCTGCGGTGTACAGTGAGTATACCTCCACTCTCTGTTGCGGTGTACAGTGAGTATACCTCCACTCTGCTGCGGTGTACAGTGAGTATACCTCCACTCTCTGCTGCGGTGTACAGTGAGTATATCTCCACTCTCTGCTGCGGTGTACAGTGAGTATACCTCCACACTCTCTGCTACGGTGTACAGTGAGTATACCTCACTGTACACCGTCGCAGAGTGGAGTATACACCGTCGCAGGAACTCACAGTTCCTGCGACGGCGCTGGAACCAATCGTATTGGCGTATGCCTTTCCATTGGAGACTGTCAGCGCCGTGGAGAGGAGGGGGGGGGGCGACCTGCTGCCTGGGTAACAGCTTCTTCCCCGAATCCACCCACCCTGGCTTTGCGCCCTGGTGAGGCCACTCCAGACCAGGTCGACATCAGAGCGCAACTCCATAGTCTCCTGAGACTGATGGATGCCTACTACTATATGCATGACGATGTTTCCCCTGGTTGTTGACATAGTTGTCTTTGACACATGTGGGGGTAGGCCTTGGCTCTTGTCCTCTTCCACTGGAATGGGGGTGAGTCTAGATTCCACTAACTCCCCGGCAGATCTTCCTGATTGGTGGAGGGTATATCCTAGTTGCAACTCTTCCTGATTGGTAGTTGTCAGTGGCAGCTCTTCTCGATTGATCTCTGTTACCATTAGATTTCTATGATTGGTATTTTTCACCCTTAGACTCCCCATGATTGGCAGCTGTCCCCCGTAATCCCCCATGATGTACTCACCTATTTGTACTCACCTATTTGTGCTTGCGGGGGTTGAGCTTTGGCTCTTTGGTCCCGCCTCTCAACTGTCAATCAACTGGTGTACAGATTCCTGAGCCTACTGGGCTCTATCATATCTACATTTAAAACTGTGTATGGAGTCAGCCTCCACCACATCACTGCCTAATGCATTCCATCCGTTAACTACTCTGACACTAAAAAAGTTCCTTCTAACGTCTCTGTGGCTCATGTGAGTACTCAGTTTCCACCTGTGTCACCTGCGTCACAGAGACGGTGAGATGTGTGCGACTCTCTGTGCCAGATCTTCGAGATTGGCAGTTTTGATCTATGGCTCTTTATAAGTGGAAGTTAAGAGATGTAACCCACCATTGGTAGTGCATCACTCAATCCTGGATGGCTGAAAATGTTAGTAGAATGAATTAATATGAATCTGTTAAGCATTTTTGTTTCATATATATATTACGTAGCTTCATATGCACTGTCATCTTTAAGAACTGAAACCACAGTGTTCTTGTTCAAACCCGCGCTCAACTGGAAACAATATTTTGTTCATAAGGTTTGACTATTGGGTTCTCTTGTTCAAAGAGTTGGTTACAAAAATAAACGAAGTGTGTTTTTCTTAGAAAGATTTGCAGACTGACTGGAGCGTGTCTTGGCCTGACCTCCCTTCTCCTGCAGGTGGTGCCAACAAGCGCTACTGGCTGGGGGCTTCCGACGAGCTCTCTGAGGGTGACTGGAGGTGGTCGTCGGGTCGGGCTGTGAGAGACGGTGACTGGCGGGCGGGGCAGCCCAGTAACACGAGTCGTAGCGGCCAAGTCCAGGACTGTCTGGCGCTGGTGACCGTGGAGAACAACCGTCCGCCCCTCGACGACTACTCCTGCTGGAAGAAGAGGGAGTTCATCTGCCAGCGGGACCTCGACTGTTGACTCGGAGACCTTTGATTCTTCTCAACACAACGACGTCTGACTTCACCACCCACATCAACACGACGACGTCTGGCTTCACCACCCACATCAACACAACGACGTCTGCCTTCACCACCCACATCAACACGACGACGTCTGACTTCACCACCCACATCAACACGACGACGTCTGACTTCACCACCCACATCAACACGACGACGTCTGACTTCACCACCCACATAAACACGACGACGTCTGACTTCACCACCCACATCAACACGACGACGTCTGACTTCACCACCCACATCAACACGACGACGTCTGACTTCACCACCCACATCAACACGACGACGTCTGCCTTCACCACCCACATCAACACAAGTGTATTTGTTTACATACAAATAATGCGTGGGAAATACAATACGTCTTAATTATATTATTATACGGCCCTCTATGAGATGTTCTGTGTACCAGACTGAGAGATAAGGTCATGCTTCAATGGCTGAGGTTTAAGGCATTTATTACAAAAAATAAGTATTAGGATTTCTTTAAGAGAATTTAAAATTGACGAGGAAGAATTTTATTTGATACATCCAACCTTTTTTCTCCAGGATAAGACTATTTACAAACATAAGAATTAAGGAAAACTGCAGAAAGCCGATTGGCTCATGCAAGGCAACTTCCATTGACACCCAAACGAACTCATGAATGTGTGTCTAACCTACGCTTGAAACAATAACAGGGATCCTGTCTATCGCTACCCGGTTATTTGTTCCTCAAATCATCGAAACCTGAGTAGATATTCGTTTCAAAATAGGGATTTCCAAACCAACGTTTATCCAGAACTGTTTTGAATCTAAACTTATCAAATGTAAATCTATTGTTCAGCGTTCTTATAAAACCTCAAGGTAAAATTATTATCTTGTTGGCCCTTTATTATCACACTGGGAAGAATTGGTGTTATTTTACTCTAGGAAAGCTGCCACCACTTTATTTCCGGCTTGGGGGACCTTAATAATACTTGAGTGTTAATGTACTTCTGGAATGTTCCATCCAATAATTTAACGCTTGCAACTGCGAGCGCTGGACTGCGGTAAACCAGGAGAGTTTACCTTAAAACTGAAGAACGTTCAAAGAAGTACAATATTTACTATAATTAACTGATGATAAATAATAACATTCAAATCCAGACAATTAAGACTGAAGGAAAGGGTGTTATGAGGTACACTGATAACGGATGTACTCTTTACCTTACTTTGAAATTAATGAACTTGACGTGTCAAAGACGTGAACTCACACGACCACTAGTAATTAAACTGAGTCGTCCACTTTCACCCACAACGAGACATTTAACTAGGAACACACATGAGACAACCACCACATCACATATTTATTGATCACTCCACATCCACACTTATCTTCTTCCTACAACCTTCACATGGCTTTTCATCCTTAACCCGTTCTACAATTATAAGAAACCTTTGGCTTTTCCAAGCCACTGACTTTCTTAGCTACCTGGCTTTTTCCCTGAACCCGTTTTACAGCTGCACATCATCGGCTTATCCTCAAAGCCACTTGGCTTTTGCAATACACCCATCACTAACTTTTCCACATACCCTCATAGGTATATTTCACCACATACTATACACAAAAGCATATACATGAGCTAGGGAAGATGTGCACCACACACAAGCAGCCTCAACACTAACACCCTCCTGGTAACTCACACTGACTTGTTAACACTCACCCACATCTAGAAACACTGATGACTAGAGACTCTGCCACTCACCAGAGTCACAGACAAGCCCGTTCTCACCAGCGTTCCCAACCTTTAGGAACTGTCGTACTAAAGTGCCTTATCCTAACCTCCCAGAGGACCCGCGAACAGAAAACGGGACATTACGTCAAGGTAAAGTATGCGTCAAAATGTGACGTGCTGAGGCTGGAGCTTGAGGGGTAACTTAACAACTTCTGGATCCCTCATCACTTTAGCTTCCCATATATATTAATTCATAGACACGGGCACCTCCCATGCTATGGTATGGGAAAGATACCATGTGGATGCTAGCGGTGGGATTTCCTCTGATCATGTGGTCGGTACCATCAAATATGGTCACATCCCATACCGTACACATTCATAGACCGCACTAGGAGTGTGGCTATGGGATGTGCACTCTATCTGACCTTTGCTCACTGATACTGAGTCTTATCTATTCCTTATGTTAACTCTTGGGTTGAACTCTCGTCAGTCTTCCCACAGAACCTCAACTCTCCCCATATATATATATATATATATATATATATATATATATATATATATATATATATATATATATATATATATATATATATATATATATATATATGTCGTACCTAGTAGCCAGAACGCACTTCTCAGCCTACTATGCAAGGCCCGATTTGCCTAATAAGCCAAGTTTTCATGAATTATTTATTTTTCGACTACCTAACCTACTTAACCTAACTTTTTCGGCTACCTAACCTAACCTAACCTATAAAGATAGGTTAGGTTAGGTTAGGTAGGGTTGGTTAGGTTCGGTCATATATCTACGTTAATTTTAACTCCAATAAAAAAAAATTGATCTCATACATACTGAAATGGGTAGCTTTATCATTTCATAAGAAAAGAATTAGAGAAAATATAGTAATTCAGGAAAACTTAGCTTATTAGGCAAATCGGGCCTTGCATAGTAGGCTGAGAAGTGCGTTCTGGCTACTAGGTACGACATATATATATATATATATATATATATATATATATATATATATATTATATATATATATATATATATTTATATAATATTATTTATTTATATTATATATTATATATTTATTTATATATATATATATATATATATATATATATATATATATATATATATATATATATATATATATATATATGCAACAATGATCACAAAAACACTGATCCAAGTATGCAGAATAACCACATGTGAAAAATAGAAAATGCTTAACGCGTTTTCGGCTAATTCGCCTTCTTCAGAGCAAAGTAGAATGAAGATAAGATTGCTGATCAGACCTTTATATCCGCCTGGGCAGATCACCTGACCACCAAAAATAAGTGGAGGAAAGAAAGAAGGTAACTGCAGAAGGCCTATTGGCCCATACGAGGCAGCTCCTATTAATATATCACATTTGGGCGGACTGAACATGAGGTTGTATTCAGCACTATATCATCATGTGGTTATTCTGCATATATATATATATATATATATATATATATGTCGTACCTAGTAGCCAGAACTCACTTCTCAGCCTACTATTCAAGGCCCGATTTGCCTAATAAGCCAAGTTTTCCTGAATTAATATATTTACTATAATTTTTTTCTTATGAAATGATAAAGCAACCCTTTTCTCTATGTATGAGGTCAATTTTTTTTTATTGGAGTTAAAATTAACGTAGATATATGACCGAACCTAACCAACCCTACCTAACCTAACCTAACCTATATTTATAGGTAAGGTTAGGTTAGGTAGCCAAAAAAAGCTAGGTTAGGTTAGGTTAGGTAGGTTAGGTAGACGAAAAAAGATTAATTCATGAAAACTTGGCTTATTAGGCAAATCGGGCCTTGAATAGTAGGCTGAGAAGTGCGTTCTGGCTATTAGGTACGACATATATATATATATATATATATATATATATATATATATATATATATGCACGTACATTTTTCTGCCTTGCGGTTCTATTAATTATAAAGTTAAAAAAATAATCAAATAAATTGTAAACTGTGATCATATTACGACCACAATTTGTAAGAAGACTTTTATTTACACAAAATATGAGGAGTTTATTTAGGAGTTTATTTATGAGGAGTTTAAATATAAAATATTTATTTACACAAAAATTACACAAGATATTCAAGCTTATTAGAAACTTGAAAACATGGGCATAGGTAATTATTGTTCTAAACTACCACTAAGTTGCATCATGAACAAAGCTGTTAAGTAGATGTGTCCCCCTCTTATCACACTGTTTAGATATGCTCATGTTGTCTTAGCATCAGGTCAGGCAGTAGTGCTGTGTGTGTGTGTGTGTGTGTGTGTGTGTGTGTGTGTGTGTGTGTGTGTGTGTGTGTGTGTGTGTGTGTGTGTGTGTGTGTGTGTGTGGCATGGACTCCTACGGTTCGTCTTAAACATTACCTCAATACACAATTGAGTTAACCAAAGTTACCATTATACAGGTTCCATAGGTCGCCTCCAAACAATTTGAGACACTGTTAAATAACGTTACATTCGACCGGGAATCAAGACGACCAAATTCACTCATAATGAAATTTGTTCGTAGCTTAAGTTAGATGACTCAGATGCCTTTATGGAATATGTTACCGGGATCTCTCTGCCCGGTAGATTACTTCAGCATCTAGATAAAAACTAGTCCAGTGAATTAAAAAGCAACTGCAGCACATTTGGGCGGACTGAACATGAGGTTGTATTCAGCACTATATCATTCACAGATATGTATAACACTTTCCCAAAGTATCTTTGGTCGGTGCTAACAGAACTATACCACTGACGTAGCAGAGAACATTAGCTTGATTACCGCCCATGCGAGAGGCAGCTCTACTGACTACCTTAGCCTTGAGGTGCTTCCGGGGCTTAGCGTCCCCGCGGCCTGGTCGTCGACCAGGCCTCCCGGTGTCGGACTACCGACACTCTAAGCAGCGTTCTGGACGACGGGCTCCGTGGTGCTCTTCTGGCAGATGAAGGTGGTGTGAGCGTAGCAGGGACTGTCGTGCAGGGCTGGGAACTCGTCTCGGCTCAACACCGCGCAGTTCTCGTTGCCTCCGTCGGGCTGGCCGCTCGCCCACTCCCTCCTCATGACTCGAGACTTCGACACCCACTCCCACACGCCCTCAATGGTGGTCTCTATGGCTCCGAGCCAAAAGAAGCGGCAGTCGTCCTCAGCTGAGGGAGAGGAAGGTGTAGGGTGAGCCCCACTTGCACAAGTCAGGGAGATAACAGATATTGATGGGGACCTGAGCTGACATACCGAGACTGGTAATTATATATACAACTCAGCGTGGCACAATATGACGGGATAATTAAGCTCTTACTGAAATCCTTCTTATTGGGCACCTTTTAATAATTAAACAAATTATTTACACCTTTTCCAAACTGGAGACCAATTTACATTTTACATGAGGATTATAAAATAATTTTGAAATTATTGGCAATTTAAATCAAGAGCATAATGGATATGCGGGCAGTGACATATTTTAATCTAAGAATAATTGTTCATCTGTGATATACTGGGATTGATTCAAAGCTTCTGACTGTGTTGATCTTAGTGTTGTACGAGAAATAATGACTTTGGAATGAATAGCACCAGAATAAAATGAGGAGACTTATGCTCTATAATGCGCCTACATCTCAACAATATGGAGATGTGATTGTATTGCTGGGATCTTAAAGTGAAACATTTACAACTGGAAGATCAATACGCCATGGATGTTCTCTTTCTATTTTACGTTATCTTTCAAGAACCCTTGCACTGAGCAGAGAAGATAACAATTATTCCATCCTGTTTTAACCATTGACAACAACCTTCCTCTCAGAATGTGCACACGAGACCAAAAGAGTTGAACCAAAAGAGTCAGTAGTGCAGGTCCAGACGCCTCTTGTTGTCAGTGTGTCATATATCCCCTTGTTGTCAGTGTGTCATATATCCCCTTGTTGTCAGTGTGTCATATATCCCCTTGTTGTCAGTGTGTCATATATCCCCATGTTGTCAGTGTGTCATATATCCCCATGTTGTCAGTGTGTCATATCCCCTTGTTGTCAGTGTGTCATATATCCCCTTGTTGTCAGTGTGTCATATATCCCCTTGTTGTCAGTGTGTCATATATCCCCATGTTGTCAGTGTGTCATATATCCCCATGTTGTCAGTGTGTCATATCCCCTTGTTGTCAGTGTGTCATATATCCCCTTGTTGTCAGTGTGTCATATATCCCCTTGTTGTCAGTGTGTCATATATCCCCATGTTGTCAGTGTGTCATATATCCCCTTGTTGTCAGTGTGTCATATATCCCCTTGTTGTCAGTGTGTCATATATCCCCTTGTTGTCAGTGTGTCATATATCCCCTTGTTGTCAGTGTGTCATATATCCCCTGTAAAAGTGTTTGGTTTAGTTTATTTAAAATATATATAGAATATGAGTCAGAGACAGGAATTGGGAAAGGCGCCAGGTTGTCGGCCTGAGATCTCACACCTCAAAGCGTTAATGACCTCAAGTGACCTGAGGTCAGATCATGCGAATTTCACCTTGCTTCTACTAATCTCTTAATTGGAGCCTGGTAGCCTTCAAACATGCCGACGTTTAAGGAGTGGCTTGGTAGAGTGCCTGAGGCTATCTACTTGTGGGCGGAGTTAGTTACTAGGCTCCCCAATATATACTCGGAGAACTATCGATTCGGGAGGATTAAGCAATAGGAGACCAGCCAGCGGAGCACAGCAGAGGCCAGCCGTCGAGATAGGCCGTCACCAGACAGGGGGTGACGCTGCCTGAAAATTGCAGACTCCCCCCCCCCCCCTCTCTATTCAACTTAGACTCAGTCCTCGGTGAGTGAACATTTAGGTGACTTGGTCGTGTTTTACAAGTGTTGTGTGATGATCAGGGGCAGTCAGTTGTAGGGTTCTCAGATTCTTGGAGGATGACTCACTTTGAATATTAATCTTTAACATTTTAATTTGATTGCTTAAGTTATGATACTTATCATGAAAAATATAATTGTTGAATTTATTATTTAAATGGACTTTATTTTGTTCCCTAGAGATTTTGAGTTGAGGTGAGAAAGCCTCTGTGGTTACTGGTTTCATGGTTTAGAATGAGTACATGATAAAGATGGGAACTACTAATAATGATCTCTTGATAACATCTTTGGTGAATATTGTGATACAGACAAGTTCCATTCCTTGTCTTGTATGTAATGATCATGAATGGATGGTGGCAGCATTTCGTCTTCTACTATCTACTTCCTACTTCTACTATCTATTCTTCTACTTCTACCTATCTACACCTCTCCCTCCACCCCTCTCTGAACTCTCACTTTCAACTAATGACCCTCCTCGCTCCTCCCACCTCTCTCCTCTCTCACCCCAAACCCTCACTAATTACTCCACTATTCATTTCTTTCCTTTCGTTTTCTCTTATACGTTTGTGGCAATGATTCTGTACTCTAGAGTTCTCTCTAGAGTTTCGGGTAACTGATCAAGTGACGGCGCCTTGTAGTCTTAGCACCTAGGTAGTCAAATACCTAGGTTACAAGGTGTTGAACGAGAGAGGTTGCCTTAGGATCTCTGGGAGTGCTCTAGAATAGTTAGCTAACTGGGGACGGGATAACGGACTAGAGAGAGCTGTTTCCCCTGGCCTCGTTAGTTAACTGGGGGGTGGAATAATGGACAAGATAGAGCTATTTCCCCGTTACACCATGTTGTCAGTGTGTCATATATCCCCATGTTGTCAGTGTGTCATATATTCCCTTGTTGTCAGTGTGTCATATATCCCCTTGTTGTCAGTGTGTCATATATCCCCTTGTTGTCAGTGTGTCATATATCCCCATGTTGTCAGTGTGTCATATATCCCCTTGTTGTCAGTGTGTCATAAATCCCATTGTTGTCAGTGTGTCATATATCCCCTTGTTGTCAGTGTGTCATATATCCCCTTGTTGTCAGTGTGTCATATATCCCCATGTTGTCAGTGTGTCATATATCCCCTTGTTGTCAGTGTGTCATAAATCCCATTGTTGTCAGTGTGTCATATATCTCCTTGTTGTCAGTGTGTCATAAATCCCCTTGTTGTCTGTCATATACCGCTTGTTGTGTGCCATATACCCCTTGTTGTAAGTGTGTTATATATAGCCCTTGTCAGTATGTCAGCCAGATGTCAGCACTCCTCAGTGTGCAAGAAACACATTTTGTGTTTCGGGAACAGGAACGGCCTCCATACTTACGGAACACCCGCCCCACTTACGGAACAGCCTCCATACTCACGGAACTTGTCGAGGAGCATGCCCCGGAGGCTATTGACGTCTTTGGGCGTGGCGAGGTCCGCCAGGAGACCCTGACAGAACCTGCGCGCCTCGCCCCAGCTCACACGCAGGTACTTGTTCACGTAGAAGCACTCCGAACCCAGCATAGAAAACGGCGGAGGACACTTTACACCTGTAAACCCAGGAAACACAAACCGTAACTGTCTCTATTTTCCGCTTGTTACAACTTGTAATAAAAGTTGTTACATCTTAGCTTAACGTGTTTATGACGTATTAGAAAGTTGTTACAACTTGCTATATTGGTTGTTATAACTAGTTAGGTGGTGTTAAAACTTGTTCGAACGTTGTACCAACGTCGTAGTTTCGGTGTGTGTTTGGCGGGAAGTCATTGGTATATTTTTCATCGGTTAACTGCGTTATGTTGAGTTGTATATGAGGTGATGTGTTTATGTTTCAGTGTCCAAGAAGGTGTTCAATAAATATTTAGCAATTAAAGCTGTCGTTTTACCCGTAATATATTTAAAGATTATTAGCACTATACTGAAGGAAAGTCAGAATTTGGTTTTGATGATTACTGGAACTGATTCACGAATCTTTTATAATAAAATAAGGATGTCGATGGCATTTTAAGCTAGTTTGTCGTTTTGTAAGATGATTGGTACGAGCTTCAATGATAAATCGATTTTTAATGAGCGTTTGTATATGTATTTTTATTTGCAAATAATATTTTAGTGGTAATAAATCTGGGGGGGGGTGGGGGGTGGGGTGGGGGGGAGGAGGTTGTGTGTGGCGCAGCACTCAGCCTTGGCCTGCACCTCTTCTCACAGCAAGACCAACTCTCTCCTCCTTGCTTCTGAAAACATATATTTCCTCCTTTCCTCCTGCCTCTCCATGCTTCTCTTCAACCTTTCTTCCTTATCGCGTTCCTTAACCTCTCCCTCTTAACCCATACTCCTTCCACTGCTTCTCTTCCTGTCTAATGTATCCCTCGTGACTGCTAGCCCATTCATCCTCCAGCTCTGCTCTTTACCTTGCTTTCATCTTTTTCTCCTCTACTTTATCTTCTCTCCTCCTCCTACTTCACCTTGCCTTCTCTTTGTCTCTCTCTTCTACTTTGCCTTTGCTTTAGACTGCTTTGCTTTCCTTTCCTCCACCTTTCCTCCCTGCCTTTTCTATCCTCCCCCCACTCAACATTGTCTTCCTATCCTCCTCCTCCTTACCTTCTTCTCTCCCCTGCTGCCCCTGCTGCTGCTGCTGCTGGAGGTGTGTGAGAGCTCTGGTGTTCTCCTGGATGGTGTCGATGAGATGCAGCAGCGTCTCCGTCAGGTTGCCCGCCATATCCACCACCGTCCACTCACTTCCTGATGAAGGAAGCCACATATATGAAGCCATGTACCCCTGAAAACCACGTGCTACCAGCCCTATGTCTGACTGAAGCTTAATCTCTGAAAATGGTTACTCCCTTAATTCATGTCAGGAAATTATATATTTTCAGTGTGTGTTCCAACAATATCTTAAAAGTTTGATATGAACAAAGTCTTATGTCATGAAATATACATAATGCTTGATTTATGTAAATGTGTGTCAAGACATGTGTCCTTAAAGCCATACCCTTAAGTATTTTACGCGGAATACTTCCCAGTTACACTGTCTCCAGTGTAGACACGTAGCGTTTCCTGTCTTACCCCCTTCCCCCAACCCTCCACCTTTGTTTGTTTAATATTGCGACTACATATTTCTTTTTCTTGAATTCTGCGAGATTTCCTGTCTTGAACGTGTTGTTGAACGTTTTAGTTAGCGAGTGACAATACTTTTGCAGTCTCCTTCAGGAGCCATGATGAGATTATGTCTAATTCCATTGATTTTGCAACCCAACCTCCAGAAATGATAGTACTTATAGTAACTATCTGCTCGAAAGTACCAATATTTAGTGATGGATCACTAAAAAGCTCACTTTTTGTACTTTTGATTTCAGCGTCTGGAAAAATGAAGCCAAAGATCAAGCTTATATATTTTTTTAGGCCTAGTATAGCACATATGTACTGTATTAGGCCTAATATAACGTTTTAGGCCTAGGATTGCTAGTAGAGGTTAGGTTAGGTACTATATTTATGTTGCCATTAGAAAAAATGTTTCCCATTGGCTAAGTTCAATAATACAAGACGTCAACTTTTTGATGCTCCATCATTACATATTGGTACTTTCGACCAAATAGTTACTATAAGTACTGTCATTTTTGGTGGAGTGGCTGTGGGTTTTGTCACAGCTAGTTCCTTCAAGTACTTTCTTTTATCTCTTCTACAGTGACTACAATGACATCCATTGTTTCTTCTGGCCTCCCAACTCATAACCTTGGTCTCCACGTTGGTTCTATTGTAAGCGCCTGAAATACTGTGTTAAGTTACTGACATACCTCAGAATTGTCTGTGAGAATCCTTCCCTCCCCCCACCCCCCTGTCTCCTCGACTTGATTACATAGTCTCTCACTGCTGTTTTTTTTCTTCTTACATGGCAATATAACAATTTGCCAGGTCCTTAGCAGTTGCCGCAACATCGTTCCAAAATTGCCTCTCACCTTCTCTTCTGACTCTTGGGTATTCCTTTCTGGTTGGCTTTAGTGCCTGTCTACTCTCCTCAATTTCTAGTTCTCTGAGCTTTTCCCAGACTTTCTTGGAGTACTTGGTTCTCTTTAGCTTCCCTGCATTGAAGACATAGTGGGCATCCATCAGTCTCAGGAGACTATGGTCTTGCGCTTTGGTTGTCGGTCAGGAGTGGCCTCTCCAGGGCGCAAAGCCAAGGTAAGTTGATGTGGAGAAGCTGTTACCCAGGCAGCAGGTCCCCCTTCCCCCCCTCTCCACGGCGCTGAAAGCCTCCAGTGGAAAGGCAAACGCCAATACGATACAATATTAGACATATGAGTGTCTATATTGTGTATGTGAGGATACCCGAGTATGTGTTGTCAACTTGATGACCCACTGGTGTGTGTTATTGAATTCTACCTATATGCTAAATTTTTCCTACAGTATTCTAGTGTTGCAAGATTTAATTTTTTAACCTGTTTACATAGCTCCTGCCTTCAAGATCTTGCACCCACTCGACTACATGCTTTTGCATTCTGACATAGAGTGTTGTGTGTGAAGTTGAGTGTTTCTTCAGGTGAGGGCAACACACCCAGAGGTGTTTCGTGTCACCTCTGGTCTCATAATTGTTACTGATGAACTTTCTACAACTTTTTCCATTCGTGCAGTCGAAAAGTCAATGTAAAGTTGGTCAGAATTGCATAGGAGTTTGATGTGTGTTTAAGCTTTTTTGGTGTTCTGGGAGTGCTGTTTACAGAGGGTTCCTCATTTTTCTTGCTAGTGTTTTTTAATATTTTCTTCAATAAATTCCATCAACCATCCTTCACCCAAGCTGAACACCTTAAGTCTCTCGTAACAGTTTACAATCTATATTCTTGTTGTCCAATTATGATTATTCTTACCGGCCAACATGGTGATATTACCGGCTGGTAGCTCCGTGCATACAGGTGTCCGCGTGGGGACTACACACACACACACACACACACACACACACACACACACACACACACACACACACACACACACACGTGCGCGCGCACACACATGTGGGGTTAACACCTTGCGGGACTCCACTCGCTGCCCTTCCCTCTTCACAAGTGCCTTTTCTTCCTTATTGCTCCTGTCTAGTCATTTCCTGTGCTTGTGTCATTCTTGTTCATCGGCGTCACTCTCACATTGCTCACAGTCTCAGTCTCTCTTTCTCTTTCTCTCTCTCTCTCTCTCTCTCATTTCCCCTTTCTCTAAGCCCCTCCCCCTGTATCTCTCACCTCCCTCTCACTCCCCCCCCCCCTCTCTCTCTCTCTCTCTCTCTCTCTCTCTCTCTCTCTCTCTCTCTCTCTCTCTCTCTCTCTCTCTCTCTCTCTCTCCCTCCCTCCCTCCCTCTCTCTCCCTCCTTCTCATTCTGTTGCCTTCCATCACTCCCTCTGAAGTAGTCCCTTTTGTACTGCCATGACCAAGATATATTTCACTTTGTATATACGTTCTCTCTCCCGATTATGTGCTTTCACTTCCAGTATATATATGCTTTTACTTTTTGTGTATTTTGTTTTATTTCTTGTGTGTATACTTTTACATATACTTTAATTTCTTCTGTTGTTGAATATGACCGAAAAGGTAAGATTAATTTAACACGAATCTTCTCAATATTTCTTATGTTTTTCTTCACTGTCGGTGGTAATAAAAATAAAAATTCTCCGAAATTCATTTTTTAATTTTTTTTAATTAATTTTCTAATTGTTTAGACAATTAAAAAATGAATTTCGGAGAATTGTTATTTTTATTGCCACCGACAGTGAAGAAGAACATAAGAAATATTGAGAAGATTCGTGTTAAATTAATCTTACCTTTTCGGTCATATTCAACAACATATGTTTACAAGAAAGACTGCTACCAAAATATTTTAATTTCTTCTGTGTGTATTTTTACTCCTTGTGGATCTACTTTAATTTCTCGTTTGTATAAACCTCTCCTCCTTTTGTGTATACGTTAACTCCATGTGTATATACTTCAATTCCATCTAACTATACTTTCATCCCCTTTGCATATATTTTTTTTATCAAATTTCCCTCTGTATAAGTATACTTTCAACCACTATTTACTTCCACTCATTAGGCATTTAGGCATTCTTTAATTCCTTATATACTTTCCCCTGATATACCCTGTGTGTATATACTTTCATTTCCTGTGGGTATACTTACACTCTCTCAGATACACTTTTACTCTCCGTTTATACTGTATGTATAAACGGAATATGTATTATATACTTTATACTCCCTATGTGTATATATTTCACTCTCTGTGAATGTACTTTCACTCCACGTGAGTATATCTATCTTTACCAACCTGTGTTTACACTTTTGCAGGCTGAAGCACTCACCAGGAATGGAGTTGGGGGTAGGACTGGAGGGTTGGTCCTGGGTGAGGGACTCATTGAGTTCCCCGAGCACCTCGGCCAGGTGTTGGATGGCCGTGATGGTCTTCTCCTGCAGACTGTTCTCCGCTCTGAGGGTCTCTGCCGGCGGGGGCAGCAGAAGCAGGAGCGCCCCCATCAGCGCCAGGGTCAGGAGACGCATCGCGGGAGCCCTCGGCAGGCGGTTCTGCTGGGGTTAGAGGACGAGGAGGTGGAGGTGGTGGTAGCAGTCAAGGGCTCAGGGTTGGAGAGAAATGGCATGGATGAATAATGTAGGTAGACAGGTAAAGTATGAAATGAAAGTGATTGATATAGTGAGAGACAGGAAGAGTGGGACACACGAGGGCTGGTCATAAATCTTGACACGTTGCATATTCATGCCTATGTGTACTAATTCTTATTAATTCGTGCTCCATACGCTTCCTGGCAACAGAACTAGATGCTAAGTACAGCTTCCCATTATACACACACACACACACACGAACGGCATTCAGAAACTTGTGTAAAGAATCATTCAGAACTTTGTATACCACATATGTCAGGCCAATCCTGGAGTATGCAGCCCCAGCATGGAGTCCATATCTAGTCAAGGATAAGACTAAACTGGAAAAGGTTCAAAGGTTTGCCACCAGACTAGTACCCGAGCTGAGAGGTATGAGCTACGAGGAGAGACTCCGGGAATTAAACCTCACTTCGCTGGAAGACAGAAGAGTTAGGGGGGACATGATCACCACATTCAAGATTCTGAAGGGGATTGATAGGGTAGATAAAGACAGTCTATTTAACACAAGGGGAACACGCACAAGGGGACACAGGTGGAAACTGAGTGCCCAAATGAGCCACAGAGATATTAGAAAGAACTTTTTTAGTGTCAGAGTGGTTGACAAATGGAATGCATTAGGAAGTGATGTGGTGGAGGCTGACTCCATACACAGTTTCAAGTGTAGATATGACAGAGCCCGATAGGCTCATGAATCTGTACACCTGTTGATTGACGGTTGAGAGGCGGGACCAAAGAGCCAGAGCTCAACCCCCGCAAACACAACTAGGTGAGTACAACTAGGTGAGTACACACACACACACAAAAAAAAAAAAATAAGAAATTCCAGGAGGTCTTCACCTTAGAGCAAGGAGAAATTCCAGAGGTAAGTGTGGGAATAGCTAACCAGGAACCACTGGAAGAGTTTGAGATTACCAGCGGGGAAGTAAGGAAGTGTTTACTAGAGTTGGATGTGACAAAGGCTATAGGCCCAGATGGAATCTCCCCTTGGGTTCTAAAGGAAGGAGCAGGAGAACTGTGCCTACCACTCTCCATAGTGTATAACAAATCACTGGCAACAGGGGAACTGCCAGATATTTGGAAAGCAGCTAACGTAGTCCCGATATACAAGAAAGGGGATAGGCAGGAGGCACTGAACTACAGGCCAGTGTCCCTAACCTGCATACCATGCAAGCTGATGGAGAAGATTGTGCGAAAAAAACTAGTGGAGCATCTGGAGCGAAGGAACTTTGTAACACAGCATCAACATGGTTTCAGGGATGGCAGGTCCTGCCTCACAGGGTTACTTGAATTCTACGACCAGGCAACAAAAATAAGGCAAGAAAGAGAAGGGTGGGCAGACTGCATATTTTTGGATTGTCAGAAAGCCTTTGATACAGTACCACACAAGAGGCTAGTGCGAAAGTTGGAGACGCAGGCTGGAGTGAAAGGGAAGGTACTCCGGTGGATAGAGGAGTACCTAAGCAACAGGAGACAACGAGTCTGTGTGAGGGGTGAGGTCTCAGATTGGCGAGATGTTACAAGTGGAGTCCCGCAGGGGTCAGTCCTTGGACCTATACTGTTTCTGGTATATGTAAATGATCTCCCAGAGGGTATAGATTCGTTCCTCTCAATGTTTGCCGACGATGCAAAAATTATGAGGAGGATTGAAACAGAGGATGATAGTAGGAGGCTACAAGATGACCTAGATAGACTGAGTGAATGGTCCAACAAATGGCTGTTGAAGTTCAACCCGAGTAAATGAAAGTAATGAAACTAGGCAGTGGAAACAGGAGGCCAGACACAGGATACAGAATAGGAGATGAAGTACTTAATGAAACAGACAGAGAGAAAGATCTAGGAGTTGATATCACACCAAACCTGTCTCCTGAAGCCCACATAAAGAGAATAACGTCTGCGGCATATGCGAGGCTGGCTAACATCAGAACGGCGTTCAGGAACCTGTGTAAGGAATCATTCAGAATCTTGTACACAACATATGTAAGACCAATCCTGGAGTATGCGGCCCCAGCATGGAGCCTTGTCAAGCACAAGACGATGCTGGAAAAAGTCCAAAGGTATGCTACTAGACTAGTCCCAAAACTAAGAGGCATGAGTTATGAGGAAAGGCTGCGGGAAATGCACCTTACGACACTGGAAGACAGAAGAGTAAGGGGGGACATGTTCACAACCTACAAAATCCTCAGGGGAATCGACCGGGTAAACAAGGATGAACTATTCAAAACTGGAGGGACGCGAACAAGGGGACACAGGTGGAAGCTGAGTACCCAAATGAGCCACAGAGACATTAGAAAGAACTTTTTCAGTGTCAGAGTAGTTAGTAAATGGAATGCACTAGGAAGTGATGTGGTGGAGGCTGACTCCATACACAGTTTCAAATGTAGATATGATAGAGCCCAGTAGGCTCAGGAATCTGTACACCAGTTGATTGACGGTTGAGAGGCGGGACCAAAGAGCCAGAGCTCAACCCCCGCAAGCACAATTAGATGAGTACAATTAGGTGAGTACACACACACACACACACACAGTAGCTAACAAATGGAATGCACTAGGAAGTGATGTGGTGGAGGCTGACTCCATACACAGTTTCAAATGTAAGTATGATAGAGCCCAGTGGGGTCAGGAACCTGTACACCAGTTGAATGACGGGACCAAAGAGCCAGAGCTCAACCCCCGCAAGCACAACTAGGTGAGTGCAAATAGATGAGTACACTCAAGAACACACACACGAGAGTGTGTGTATAGTACATAGCATGATGTGTTTGCATTCTTGTAAAGCCACTAGTCTTTACCACATACGCACTCACACTCAAGAACACACACATACGCACTCACTCTCACAATAATAAGGGAGCAGAAGGCTGAACACAAGATATGATCTTGGAGGCGAAATCCTGCAAGAGTCAAATAGAGAAAGATCTGGGGGTTGATATCACACCGAACCTGTCCCCAGAGGCCAACATCAAAAGGATATCATCAGCGGCATATGCTAGACTGGCCAATATAAGAATTGTCTTCAGAAACTTGTGTAAGGAATTGTTCAGGACCTTGAATACAACTTATGTCAGACCAATCCTGGAATATGCAGCTCCAGCCTCGAGTCCACACCTAGTTAAACACAAGACAAAGTCAGAGAAGATTCAGAGGTATGCCACCAGACTAGTCCCGGAACCGAGAGGTATGAACTACGAGGAAAGCCTAAGTGAACTGAACCTCACGTCCCTGGAAAACAGAAGAATAAGGGGAGACATGATAGCCACCTACAAAATTCTCAGAGGAATTGACAGGGTGGACAAAGACAAACTCTTCAGCGCGGGTGGAACAAGAACAAGGGGACACAGGTGGAAACTTGTACCGAGATGAGCCACAGTGTCGTTAGAAATAATTTTGTCAGTGTCAGGGTAGTTAGCAATGAAATGCATTAGGCAGTGATGTGGTGGAGGCTGACTCCATACACAGTTTCAAATGTAGATATGATAGAGCCCAGTAGACTCAAGAATCTGTACACCAGTTGATTGACGGTTGAGTGGCGGGACCAGAGAGTCAGAGCTCAACCCCCGCAAGAACAACTAGGTGAGTACACACGCACGCACAATGGGAACTGTTCATGTAGATAAGAAACACTGTTCAAAGCGAGGAATAGCAGACCAACAGGACACAGCAAATAGAGATATGAATGAGTCAGATATATCAAAGGGAACTTCTTCAGTGCAGTGGTTGTAAATAACCGGAATGGCGTAGATTTAAATGTAGATACAGTAATAAAAGTGAGTGAATAGTGCATTTGAGAAGTTTCCCTGTCACCGATCATCGCGTGTAAAGTGTATAAGTAAATCGTGCAAGTAGTGCGATCGACCACATCTTTCTTACCGATTGATTTGAGTCAAGTTGTTTGTTTAATGTGTAATGAAGCCCTCGTTAACGCAAATAATATTTCCTGAAAAAACATTGAAACCATACGATGGTGATCGAACCCTCACTCCTGAACTACTTTAACACTTGTGACAAGTCACCCCCAATCAATGCAGAAGGGTTGACTATAAATTTCCCAGGGAGCTGGGAGAGAAAGGATGGGGGTGCAGTGGTAGTGAAGACCATTGACCCGACCTACAAACCCATTATTTTACCCCCATCTGATCACTCATCTGATCAGTGCCACACAGTACTGCCTTCCTGGCTAATAAAAACATCCCTCTCCCGGGAGTCCGTATATTGGACGTAAGAAACAGGCTGTGGAGCAGGGCCAGCCGGGGCCCCCTGATATCATTCTAACATCATTCAAATGATGAATGGCTATCATTTGAATGGCTTAGATGGCTATCATTTGAATGGAGTGAAGTTAATGAGGTTTTTAATGTTTCATATTGACATAAAATGCAAGAAAATTAGGAATACAATAATTATGTTAGTTTCTGATTACATTTTGTGTGTGTAGATAGGCAGGCAGGAAGGTTACTCAGTAGACAAAATATTGAAGTTCTTGCGAGGAAGGATCAAGTATAACATTTGGGGTTTACGGCTCATGCTCGCTGATGATATGGAAAATTGGTTTACTGAGAATTGTATAAAATATATATAAATGTAATAATTTCCCCTGTATTTTAATGTACATTTATTCTCCAATTTTTGTAAATCGTTTGTGGGTAAATAAGTATAACATTCAGTTTTTTTAAAAGATCTTGTTCTGTACTACTGCAACACTTGTTCACTAAGAATTGTAATGTATAATTCCCTTGTAAAACGTATGTATATGTGATTTATATTGTATTTTCTTAAATAAAGATAAAAAAATGGCTTAGATAGCCATCTAAGCCATCATTCAAACACTGGGGAGTACAACAGGTGGCCACCACTAGATCCCTCGGTGGCCTTCACCTGTTAGCGCTTTGTTTAGTAACCTATAATTGTACTGAACTATCTCACTAAGCTTAACAAGAGAAAGAAACGAGGCGACACTATAGCGACATATAATATTGTTAAAGAAGTGAGAGAGTTGAAAGAACATACGTCATCTCCTCCCCTCCTCTTAGGGGAGGAGATGACAAGAGTGGACGCTGCCCAATAAACTCGCCCCTCGGGGCAAAATTTAAATTTAAGAGAGGATGCCAGAGTCGCAGATGAGCCAGGGGGGATGTAAGGAGCCTTCAGCCTTACTTCAGTGAAGGAGTAGTAAACACGTGGAATGAGCTGCTGGTGAGGTAATTAATGTTAACTTCATCCAGAGTTACAAGAATAGGTACGATACAAAACAAGAGGACAAGGAACCATTGAAATAGACAACCGGCGACTGAAAGGCGGGGCCCATGACCTGAAATTCACCCTAATAGCACATACAATGGGTACACAGTAACCCTGACTCATTCAAAATTTTTGAACCTGTTCCATCAGCGACAACTCACCTTAGAGGCACCAGCAACGAGAATGGAGGTTGGCGTCGCCTTCCACACTCCGGCTCAAGTGTAACTAAGTAGTCAAGACTACCACGTCGTGGTGAGGGAGCACGGGTGCTGGGGCGGACTTGGGTGGACTCCCGTAGAACACTGGGGCGTGGTGTGAGGGCGAGGGGTTGAGGACCCCGGCCCTCCTCGACGACTGGTCGCTCTCAAGGGCCACTGTTCATGCCTGGGTCCCGTGACGCCCGTGGCCACACAGTCTGCCCACACCCACCACGCTGCTCCTCGTCGCCCGCTCTAGTCAACACGAGGGTCAAGGCCAGGAGTCATCATTTAAGTGTCCACTTACGAAACCTGTACATCTTTTCTATCTAGGGGGCCTCGACGTGGACTGGAAGCCGGCGGCTTGTCAAGGCACCTCCCTCCTCCTCCTTCCATTATATCTGAGGGTTTATTCCAACTGGATTTTAAACTGCAGTACTGTTTGGGTAAGAGGCGCCTCTCAAGGTACTTGAAAGTTAACTTGAGTTGAATGAAATGTCGAGAATGGTGGCGTAGAGCGCACCCGTCTTCCCGAGCGTACACAACCTCACTAAACTGTTGAGGTAAAGTGCCCCAACTTAACCAACCCGAGGACCCACCAACAGAAAATGGGACATTCCCGTTGATTTCGCGAGCCGCTACCATTTTTAACCCACCAATTTTTGGTCTTAGGGAAATTATACGTCAAAATGGTATGTACTATTCTGGAGACCGGTATACCTCACTCCACCCCTCAACATAACCCTCAAATATAACAACCAGAATTACCTGCTTCCCCACAACATAAAGTATACCAAACGAATATTCAAGATAACAGCTTCACTTAGCGAGGTAACTCAAGAGTGAAGAAGGTTTGGAAGACTCTTGGTCATCATACATCACCCAGCACCAGAAATCTTAGCCAAATTCAAAAATTCAAAATATTTATTCAGGTAAAAGTACAAGCATAGAAGATGACTTACAAACATAATGTTGGATTTATAGATAGAGCAAGTACATACAATACCTAAAGCCACTAATACACATGGTGTTTAGGGTAAGGTTAGTATCCAGCCATATCCAAAATATCCAGTCTGCTTACTGTAGGTAGTGCAGCTGAGTCAATATCCCCCCCCCCTCAACTCCCGCCCCTTGGATGACTTAAGTGTCTGGAAGGTGATTAGCAAATGATGATCTAACTTAACTACATATAACAAGGACATGAGTGTTTATCCGGAGGTAACTGCCGCTTCAGGATGGCGGAGTATGATCACTGGTTGACCAGACCCACACACTAGAAAGTGAAGGGACGACGACGTTTCGGTCCGTCCTGGACCATTCTCAAGTCAATTGTGGGAATCGGCGTCCCGGCTGAGGATAGTCCAAAACAGCACATAGGCCAGTGGATAGCCTGTAGCAGTAGTTGAGGCGACAGTCGGTATCAATGGCTAGGCGAGGAGGCTAGTTATCCCGGGCCAGCTGGGTAGAGGATGGAACTGGTTGGCATGAGCTGGCGCATACCATGGCAACCCGCGGTGCCAAGTGCCAGGTGTCTCTCCTATGTTGCAGCTACACCTTAACACGTGAGGTATGCTCGTACCAACATACCTCACGTCTTAAGGTGTAACTGCAAGGTCCCACGTGGAAGGACCTTCCACGTGGACTTTACACCACGTGCAGGCGAGGAGTCACAATAACGTGGCTGAAGTGTGTTGACCAAACCACACACTAGAAGGTGAAGGGACGACGACGTTTTCGGTCCGTCTTGGACCATTCTCAAGTCGATTCATTTACACCACATCACGTCATTACGGAGGTGTGGATTTGATAGGCTATTTATAAAATGGATGAAACTTTAAATTTCACTGCTTTCTTTTCGCTCTCAAGTAGAGTTTTTACTGGACAGTCACTCATCCTGGGAGCTGACAGGTCGTCATGGCAACATGTATATTATTTCCCTTAATATGAAGAAAATCTGATGGACTGTTTACCCTGTCAATTGTACCCAGACGCAGCTGCGTTGTTCATCCTGTCAATTGTACCCAGACGCAGCTAGGTTGTTCACCCTGTCAATTGTACCCAGACGCAGCTGCGTTGTTCATCCTGTCAATTGTACCCAGACGCAGCTGCGTTGTTCATCCTGTCACTTGTACCCAGACGCAGCTAGGTTGTTCATCCTGTCACTTGTACCCTGACGCAGCTAGGTTGTTCATCCTGTCACTTGTACCCTGACGCAGCTAGGTTGTTCATCCTGTCACTTGTACCCTGACGCAGCTAGGTTGTTCATCCTGTCACTTGTACCCTGACGCAGCTAGGTTGTTCATCCTGTCACTTGTACCCAGATGGTTACCTTGTGATGATTTCTTGGCTCAACGTCCCCGCGGCCCGGTCCCTGAAAAACTTATCAACCAGGAACTCGATTGAGCTCAGTGGGAGGTTCTGGAGGCCTGAACCGATGCCCAACCAGGACTTTACGATAGACTAATTATATATTAGCGATAAGACCTAACATTAATGTATAATGACTTACTGTAAATATATAGCTCTTGAAATAGCACTTTCTCTGTAACTAGCTAACATTGTAACTATAAGGTGTGAAGGATAGATGAAATTGTTTATGTAATAATCTAAGATGAGGTCTGATAAAGATCTTGTGTGCCCTCTGTAATGCTTTTTGCGCTACCGCTCACAGGATGGGTATGAGGTGCACAATAAACTAGCCGCCTCCGGCGGCAACAATCAAATCAATCAAAGGAGCCTACCCTCTGGCGTGCGGGTAATGGTGTTCACTCCCCTTACTCACATCCTTGTGATATCCATCAGAGAAACTGGGGGTCAGGATTTAGGATGGGACGGGGGTTGAGGAATGGTGCCCATTCACTTGGACGGTCGGGGATTGAACGCCGACCTGCATGAAGTGAGACCGTCCAGCTCAAGTGGTTGGGCTATATAAGCAGGAACGAGCTTTGCTTCTACACACTCAGACACAGTCTACACAGCACCGCTCCTGTGCCATGTAAGTCCACTACGAGCTCACCATAGCCCGTGCTACTTGCCTCGCTCCTGTGCCAGGTAAGTTACGGGCTCACCATAGCCCGTGCTACTTGGAACTTGTTCTGAGTAGCTGAATCTATAACAACAACATTTGCTTCTACAGATTTTGGTGACTGGTATGCATTCTCACAGAACCACTACACTTAGTGAATGTATAAGCAAATGCACAGCAATAGTGCGTTGGGTGTAAGTGAGGAGCCGGGGTGGGGCCGGGGGAGGGGGGGGGGCGGGGGTGGGGCGGGTATAGAGAGCAGTGTTGTAATAGTGGACACTCACCAAGCCTGGGGAGCCCCTCACTGGGACACTAGACTCCATATTTAAGCCTGGCGCGCGGCCAGCCAATCCCCTCCCCTGCTGCTGGACGCACTTGCCCGCCTCTCCTCTTTCTCATTTTGGTTGATTTGTGCAAGTTTCTCTATCCGGCTCTTTACCGCTGGCCTGGTTTATACGAGAACAGTGTTGGTAAAACTAGGTAGGTTCATCTCCCATCTTGCAGGATGGTTTGTAATATGTGGGTTGTGAGTAGTATATTCTAGCCTACACTAGCAAACTCCGGATTATACTATAATGATATCTTATAACACCCGTGATGAATAAAATAGCTCCAAAGTTTCAGATATTTCCTACTATTTGAACTAAAGTTATTGATATAGCAAGCAAGCAGCAAGCAAGCAGGTATATATAATATGGAACTCACTAATCAAATGCTGGTGTGCACCCCACATCTTTTTGGGGGATAATTATTTGAGCGTCACTTATTTAGACATTTGTTACGTGGATATTCCTGTCATAAGCAGACGAGGAGTCACAATAACATGGCTGAAATATGTTGACCAGACCACACTAGAAAGTGAAGGGACGACGACGTTTCGGTCCGTCCTGGACCATTCTGAAGTCGATTGTGGATTCAAGTCGATTCACACTCGACTTGAGAATGGTCCAGGACGGACCGAATCGTCGTCGTCTCTTCACCTTCTAGTGTGTGGTTTGGTCAACATTCCTGTCATAAATAACGATACTCCAGCCTAATCTGGTAATATCTATGCCGCTCCGCCTTCTCAACAGTTCACACACCTCTTATTAAGGGTGCTTTCGGGCCTTTGAGAATTTTTAATTTATGATCTGCTTTTATAATGTCGGACGTAGTGTCTTGAAGCAGCGTGCTGGCAACTCTAAGAGATCCGGATAGCTCGGTCTAGTTGGATCTCGTGCTTGTCACATGGACCTTTAAATGAACAAATCCACGAGGGCCGTGACGGAGGGATCGAACCTACGTCTGAGAGGATCCCAGACGCTGCCTTAATTGTCTGGGATCCTCTCGGAGGTAGGTTCGATCCCTCGTCACGGCCCTTGTGGATTTGTTCATTTGATGCATTACGCTATTGTGATTTCTGTGTGTAATGGACCTTTACCCAACCTTGTCTGTCATCATGTTGGATAATCCCCGTGTCAGACCATGTCCTCACAAGGCTACTTAATAGATACAAGATACTTAAGCTCGTATTACTGTTGTTACGACACTCATCTTGCGTTACAAGATGGATTTTCAAGTTCTTGAAAAGCTCACTATAAGTTACAGATAAACTTACAGTGACTTTTAACTCATGTAAAAGTTACAGGCTGCTGAAGTACGACCTTGGAATATAACAAGCCAATATTGTCAAATGTATTTGACATCACTGAGTATTACTTTTGGTCTGAGTATTACTTTTAATTGATGCCTGTGTATTACGCTTGTGTTGCCGGGGGGGGGGGGGCAGAGGGGAATATCATTAGCTAATACACGGTACACATTAAGGATATTGAGTTAGATGAGGGGTGGCAGCTCTCCCTCACAACCACCTCTTATGCAGGCTGCGTGGCGCTGCGTTGCCAGCACTTAGTTGCAGCATAGTTGACAGCACATGATAGTTTGTCTCTAAGCAGTGTTGAGTCTTTCCTGCTCTTCATGCGGAAGGTCGTGTTGCGTTGTGCAACTCAAGAATATCTTAAAACCGTCCACTACAATTATTGCATTTCTTTGTTAAATTTTGGTTCAGCAGGAGCTGTAAATAATGTGTCAGGACGATTGTAAAGACGAGGAAATGTTAAATAAAAAGTTATGCCAAGTTTGAGGTAGCAATACCTCGCGAAGGTTGCTATACGAGCGAAGAGCGTGTGTGTGTGTGTGTGTGTGTGTGTGTGTGTGTGTGTGTGTGTGTGTGTGTGTGTGTGTGTTTACT